GTGGCTACATTTATTTATCTATTTATTTAGAGGCAGAGTCTCACTTTGTCGCTCAGGCTGGAGTGCAGTGGTGTGATCTTGGCTGTCTGTAGCCTCTCCCTCCCAGATTCAAGCAGTTCTTGTACCTCAGCCTTGTGAGGAGCTAGGATTACAGGTGTGTACCACCATGCTTGGCTAATTTTTGTATTTTTAGTAGAGACAGTGTTTTGCCATGTTTGCCAGGCTGGCCTCGAACTTCTGACCTGAAGTGATCCACCGTACCTTGGCCTCCCAAAGAGCTGGGATTACAGGTGTGAGCCACTGCGCCCAGGCTTTGTGGCTACTTTTAACAGCATGCAGTAATATATGAGAAAAAGAGGAATGATTTAAAGATGGAATTTATAATTTAAAAAGAATCAGGGCAAAGATATTTGGGAAATTCACAGCCTGGTCATGTAAAGAGTAAAAAGGTCTTTAGGAGGGCAAACCAAGGATGTGTCCAAGTTACCGTTTGCAAAAGAGAATACCATGAATAGAAAGGAGGCCGGGCTCATTATTCTAAGTGATATAACTCAGGAGTGGAAAACCAAACATTACATTCACAGTCATAAGTGGGAGCTATTCCATGGGGATGCAAAGGCATAAGAATGATACAACAGACTTTGGGGGCTCGGGGGAATGGGTAGAAACAGGGTGAAAGATAAAAGACTCCACTGGGTACAGTGTACACTGCTCAGGTAGGAGATACAACAGAATCTCAGAAATCACTAATTAAAAAGCTTATACCTGTAACCAATCACGACCTACTCCCCCCAAAACCTATTGAAATTTAAATAAATAAATAAATAAATAAATAAATAAATAAATAAAGGAGGCTGATGCTATTTTTCAAAACAATGGGCAAAAGACCTCAAAGACATTTGAAAGGTTTTTGAGGCTGCCTCTCCCAACACTGGCCCAAAGCAGGACCTTGATGCAGTTTCCGGAGGGTGTCTGCAGGACCACCGCTGCTCTGCACAGCCTAGGGACTCTGCTGCCTGAATTTCAGCACAGTGCCCCTTGGCCAGCGCAGCCATGGCTCAGGTGGGCCTAGGTGCCTCTCAACTCACAACTCTGGAATGTACATACCTCAGACGCCTTGGTGGTGGTCACGTGGTGTGTTAATTTTGCACTTGCACAGAATGCAAGAGCTGTGGGGTCATGGTGGCCTCCACCTAGATTTCAAAGGTTGTTATGGACAGCCTGGGGGTGCCCAGGCAAAGACTTGTTACAGCAGCAGAGCCACTGTAGTGAGCCTCCACTAGGGCAATGCCTATTGGTGCCATGGGAGTTGGGAAGCTCCGACAGCCCAGAACTATAGGGCCACCGGTATGCAGCTTCTGTTTGGGAGAGCTGCATGCACAGACTCCAACTTGTGAGAGCCAAAGCATGGCCTACATTCAGCAGAGCTACAGGAATGGGCTGCCCAAGGCCTTGAGGGCTCAACCCCTACCCCTGTGTGCTCAGAAGTCAGGACACAGAGCCAAGGAAGACTGTATTAGGACTTTAACATTTTCTGTTGTTTTTCTTAATGGGTTTTGGACTTCCTTAGGACCGGTTACTGTTCTTACCTGTTTTTCCCTTTTGTAATGGAAATGTCTGTCATGCTTATCCCATTGTGTTTTGGAAACTCAAATCATGGAGGGAATTTGCCTCAGGGTGAATCATGCCTTGAGTCTCACTCATATTTAATTTACATGAGACTCTGAAGTTGGTGCTAGCAGGAGTTAAGACATTAGGGCTTGTATTAGTCTGTTTTCATACTGTTATAAAGACATACCCAAGACTGGGTAATTTATGAATAAAAGAGGTTTAATTGACTTATAGTTCAGCATGGCTGGGGAGGCCTCAGGAAGCTTACAATCATGAGGGAAGGCAGAGGGAAAGCATATTAGTTCGTTTTCATACTGCTAATAAAGACATACCTGAGACTGGGTAACATAAAATAAAAGAAGTTTAATTGACTTACAGTTCCACATGGCTGGAAAGGCTTCACTATGGCAGAAGGTGAATGAGGAACAAAGTTACATCTTACAGGGTGGCAGGCAAGAGAGCTTGTGCAGGGGACCTCCCATTTAATCACTACCATGAGAACAGTATGGGGAAAAGTGCCCCGGTGTGATTCAGTTATCTCCATCTGACCCTGACCTTGATACATGGGGATTATTATAATTCATTGTGAGATTTGGGTGAGGACACAGCCAGACCATATAAGGAAGCAAGGCGCCTTCTTAACTAGGCAGCAGCAAGGAGCACGAATGCAGTAGGAACTACCAAACACTTAGGAAATCCTCAGATCTCATGAGACTCACAATCATCAGAATAGCATGGGGAAAATCGCCCCCCGATTCAGTCACCTCCATCTGGTCTGTCCCTTGACACATGGGGATTAGAATTCAGGATGAGATTTTGTGTGGGGACACAGCCAAACCATATCAGGGCTATTGAGATGGAATTAATGGATTTTGCACATGAGAAAGACATGAATTTTGGGGGCTGGAGCAAATGCCATGCTTTGAATGTGACTCTCAAAAAGCACGTGTGGAAACTTAATTCTCAATGCAACACTGTTGGGAGGTGTTTAGGTCATCAGGGCGCCGCCTTCATGAATGGCCTAACACCAATCATAAAAGGGCTTGAGGCTGCAAATTGAGCCTCTTGCTCTTTCACCGTCTCTGACTCTTGCCTTCTTCTGTGGGGTGGTGGAGCAAGAGGGCTTTCATGAGATGCTGAAGCACCTTGATATCAGACTTCCCAGCCTCCAGAACTGGGAGAAGTAAATTTGTTTCCTTTATAAATTAGCTGATTTGTGGTATTTTATAGCAACACAAGTGGACTAAGATGGGGGCTCTAGAAACACCCCCATGATGTGTAAGGTAAAACTTATTTGGGAAAATATTCTGACTCACCATGGTAGGCTGAATAATTATTTCTTTCCTCCCTCTGCCCCACCCCCACCACGAAATATATCTATGTCCTAATCCTCAGAACCTGTGACTGTTACCTTATATGGCAAATGGGATTTTGCAGATGTGACGAAAAATCTTTCCATGGGGGGCATTATCCTGGGATATCTGAGAGGACCCAATAAAATCATAAGGATCCTTATAAAAGGATGGCAGGGGATCAGAGTCAGTAGCAGGATATGGGATGACAAAGGAAGAATTGGTAGATATACAGGGATGAGGCCAGGAGCCAAGGAATGCAGATAGCCTCTAGAAGCTAAAAAAAGGTAAGTAAAGGAGTTCTTTATTTACTCCAGAAGGAATGGATCCCTGCTAACCCTTTGGTTTTAGACTCTCAGGACTGTAAAACAATACATTTTTTTTTTTTATTTGAAGCTACTCAATTTGTGGTAATTTGTCATAGCAGCCGTAGGTAACTTAAACACTTATTGACTTTAAATGAATCTTTCAATCTATCTGTGATCAACTGTATTTTTCTAAAGATGGCTCAAAAACATCTCCCATTCCACATTCCCTTCCGCAGTATCATTTTGCCATATCCTCATCAAGAGGTAGAATAGGCCGGGCGCGGTGGCTCAAGCCTGTAATCCTAGCACTTTGGGAGGCCGAGGCGGGTGGATCACGAGGTCGAGAGATCGAGACCATCCTGGTCAACATGGTGAAACCCCGTCTCTACTAAAAAATACAAAACATTAGCTGGGCATGGTGGCGCGTGCCTGTAATCTCAGCTACTGAGGAGGCTGAGGCAGGAGAATTGCCTGAACCCAGGAGGCGGAGGTTGCGGTGAGCCGAGATCGCGCCATTGCACTCCAGCCTGGGTAACAAGAGCGAAACTCCGTCTCAAAAAAAAAAAAAAAAAAAAAAAAGAGGTAGAATAAATCCCCCACCCATGCCCTACCCTTTTGAATCTGGGTGGCTCCTAAGACCTCTTTGATCAATAGAATATGATAGAAGTGATACAATGTCCTGTAACCGCCATGGCAGCTTTCACTTTCTCTGTCTTAGAAGCTAGCTGCCATGAAGGAAGTGCCACTTCAAGACCAGCATGCTAAGAGAAACACTCACATGTAGAACTTTGAAGCATCATCTATCACATGGAAAGAGAGATGCCAAAGAACATTAGCTGCATCTTGGAAGCAGACCCCTGCCCCAGCCATCCTGGTTGACTCCAGTGGCAGCAGAGACAAACAACCCAACCAAACTCTGCAAATATTTGACCCACAAATCATGAGAAAAATCTAATAATTATTTAAGCTACTAATTTTGGGGGGCGGGGTGTTGTTAACTCGGCAAAAGCTAAGTAAAACACCATCTTTTTTATTGTAAGCTGGTGACTCTCTGAACAATGAAGTAATACGTGCCTATTTAGAAGTATATTTTTGCCAATAAATAACTCCTAGTTACTTTAAAGTTCCAAAGTAACATCTTTACAATTTCAGCTGTGATTTCTTAGTTTGCTAGCAATATCTACCAGGTTGCTATATCTGATTTCACGGGGTTGTAATGACGAATGAAAGGAATGAAGGAAACCTGTTTTGTAATATAGAAGCATTATACAAATATTATTGTATTAATCTCAGGGCAACATTAGAAGAATTGGAAGTAGCCTATAGCAAGTAGAAACACTAACTGGTTCTATTGACTTAATTATATACTTCACAACTCAGACTCTGGTCAATAAATTTGAGGGTAACATCTCATTTATGGTGTGGAATTAAAAACATTGACTTATATGACAATACGTTTCTGTGCTAAACCAAGGTGTCTTTCACTTCTGACTTTAAGTTTCTTCTCCAGAGACACCTATTTTTCATAATTCTGTATCTGTTGCCATCTTGCTTGTAGATTTAATTTTTTAGACAAGTAGACGGAAAGATTTAGTGTTGCATTTTGAAGACTCAATCTTATGAATCCACAGGAGCATACCTATCCTACCTCTTTGGACAGTTTCTACCATGATTTCAGATAAAGTATGTGTGTCTACTCTAAGAAGATTGTGTTTGTTTTAATTTCCAGTTTGTCTTCGCTCTTTTCGAAGTGGTACATTCGCTGCTGCACGTCAGTCAACTAACGCTTATCCTGACCTAAGAAGCTGTGTCAACGGTAAGCATGTCTACCATCAATGTAAAACCAAAACAAACAAAAACTCCGTCAATAAAGTATGCCCATGCTAATATAAACTCATGTTTAAAAATCAGGAAATGAGCCTTTGTGGGTTGCATGCCAGGCAAGGAAGTATTTTCAAACGGCGTCTAAAATACTTGTTTATAATTGTAAATGCTGCTGTATTACTCGAAATGACTTTTTTGCCTAATATTTAAACTGAACAGTTTTCTTTGTTTAGTAAGCAAAGGTCATTGACTCCAGAATTTTTATTCCCAACAGCTTTATTTTGGCTGTTGTTGCATAATCACGGAGTGTGGCTAAATGTTGCGGTAGATTAATAGGTCAAAGTAGAGCCATGTTTATTCTAACATTTTGGCATTGATAATATAAACATGGAAAATGTTATATGAACAAATTAGCTTCCTTGCTTTGAAGTTCTCAAGGGGCCTAATGATAATTCTGGTAGAATTTTTTCTTTTTTTTTTTTTTGAGACGGAGTCTTGCTCTGTTGCCAGGCTGGAGTACAGTGGCAAAATCTCGGCTCACTGCAACCTCCGACTCCTGGGTTCAAGCGATTCTTCCACCTCAGCCTCCCAAGTAGCTGGGACCACAGGCGTGCGCCACCACGCCCAGCTAATTTTTGTATTTTTAGTAGAGACGGGGTTTCACCATGTTGGCCAGGAAGGTCTCGATCTCTTGACCTCGTGATCCACCTGCCTCGGCCTCCCAAAGTGCTGGGATTACGGGCGTGAGCCACCACGCCTGGCTATTTTTGACTCTTTGTTGGGAAATTGGGAAATTACTAAAAGCAAATGGTACAACTGCAAGATATAAATTACGATTTTTGTTCAGAGAAAATTTTACATACAGCATTGACATTCTCTAGATACTCATTTTTCTATGTTTTTCTCTAAAGTGCTTGTAATTATACAGGTAGGACAGTTTGAACACATATTTAATTCTTTAATTCATATTTATCTTTTCTTAACATTTGCCAAAGAACAGAAGAATACTAATTTTGACAATAATTTTCTATTCGTTTGTTTTCTGTGATTTTCAGCTAATACCTAATGTATTGCCACTTTTCAAGAAACTTGATTCTATGAACACTTTTTAAAAAAAAAAATTGTAGAATTATTTAGGCATTAGCTAGGTTGGTTATTTATTTATTTATTTATTTATTTATTTATTTATTTATTTATCAAGCAACAGAAATTTTCTCTGGCTAACATAAGCAAAGAGATAGACGTATTGAAAGTATTGGGAGTATTGAAGTATTGGAAGGATGGGAAGAGCGCGTGCAGTTGACTGGGAAGATTGAGAAGCTGGTGTGGAAAGGTGCAGAAACCAAGAGACTGTTTGCGGTGTCTAATGCGGGGACAGAGATTACAAATAAATAATAAAACAAATGGCATGCTGTTATCCATATTTTGATAAGTTGCTGTGATATTTTAGGAAGAAAATAAACGAGGCACTATAATTGAGCTTTACTTTGTCCGTTTTTTGTTTTCTGAGACAAGCTCTTGCTCTGTTGCCTAGGCTGGAGTGCAATGGTGCAGTCATGGCTCACTGCAGCCTCAGCATCCTGGGTTCCAGCATTCTTCCTGCCTCAGTGCCCTAAGTAGCTGGGACTGTAGGCACATGCCAGCACTCCTGGCTAATTTATTTTTTATAGAGATGGGATCTTGGGTGTGTTGTCTATGCTGGTCTTAGACTCTTGGCCTCAAGCCATGCTCCTACCTGGGCCTCCCAAAGTGCTAGGATTACAGGCATGAAACACCATTCCAGGTCCGACTTTGTACTTTTTAATATTGCTGCTTTTTTTCTGGTCATATCCCTTATTCAGAAAGCTATCTTACATTAGTGTAGTCAGTCTGGCTTTCTTTTGATTAGTGTTTTCATGGTTTATTTTTCCATCCATTATCTTTGAACATACCCATGTGTTTATATTTCAAGTGAGTGTCTTTAGGGTCTTGCTCTTTTCTCCAGTCTGACAATCTCTTTTAATTGGAATGTTAGACTATAGACATTTACATCTAATATTACCATTGATGATGGCTAAAGTCTGTTAATCCCGTCTGTCTTTGCTTTTTTCTTTTCCTACTGCAGTTGTATTGATTGAGGGTTTTTTGGAGGAGTTGATTCCGTTTGTCTCTGCTATTATTAATTATGCTTCTTAAACGTCTTTGACTCTTTTCTTTTCCTTCCTTCCTTCCTCTTTCTTTCTTTCCCTTTCCCTCTCTTTCTTTCTTTTTCTCTCTTTCCTTCTTTCTCTTTCTTTCTTTTCTTTCTTTCTTTCTTTTTCTTTCTTTCTTTCTTTCTTTCTTTCTTTCTTTCTTTCTTTCTTTCTTCTGTCTGTCTCTCTCTCTCTCTCTCTCTCTCTCTCTCTCTCTCTCTCTCTGTCTCTGTATCTCTTTTTCTCTTTCTCTCTTTCTTCAGTCAGGATCTCCCTCGCTAGCTCAGGGTGGAGTGTGGTGCTGTGATCATAGCCCACTGCAACCTTGAACTCCTGGATTCAAATGATCTTTCCCTTTGCCTCAGCCTCCTTAGTAGCTATGACTGCAGGCGTGCAGCACCATGTCTGGCTAATTTTTAAATTTGTCTGTAGAGATAGGGTCTCACTTTGTTGCCCAGCTGGTTTTGAACGCCTGGCTTCAAGTGTTCTTTTTGCCTTGGACTTCCAAAGTGCTGGGATTACAGGCATGAGCCACTGTGCCAGACCTCATTTCTGCTATATTTTTGTGCTGTTTCTGCCTTACATTTTAATATGATACATGATAAACTCCATGATATGTTAATTTATAAATAACCAAATGAGAAAATACTGTTTTATTGTTTTATTTATTTATTTTTGAGACAGACTCTTGCGCTGCCGTCCAAGCCGGTGTGCAGTGGTGCAATCTCAGCTCACTGCAACCTCTGCCTGCTGGATTCAGATGATTCTTGTGCCTCAGCCTCACGTGTAGCTGGGATTACAGGCCTGGCTAATTTTTTTGTATTTTTAGTAGAGACAGAATTTTGTTATGTTGCTTAGGCTAGTCTCAAATTCCTGACCTGAAGTAATTCACCCCCGTTGGCCTCCCAAAGTGCTGGGATTACAGGCATGAGCCACTGGCACCTGACCCAGAAAATACTGTTCTGTATTTTCTCATATGTTTACCATTTCCATCTGGCAACATATTTTTTCTGCCTGAAGAAATTCCTTTAATATTTCTTATACTACATATCTCATGAAGACGGATTGTTTTCATATTTTTAATTCAAAAAAATACTGTTTTGCCCTTATTTTGGGGAGATATTTTTATTGGCCAAAGACTTCCATGTTGATAGTATTCTTTCAGTATGTCAAAGATGTCAGCCAGGTGTGGTGGCTCACACCTGTAATCCCAGCATGTTGGGAGGCCCAGGTGGGTGGATCACGAGATCAAGAGTTCAAGGCCAGCCTGGCCAACGTGCTGAAACCCCATCTCCACTAAAAACACAAGAATTAGCTGGACATGGTGGTACGTGCCTGTAATCCCAGCTACTCAGGAAGCTGAGGCAGGAGAATTGCTTGAACTGGGACCCAGGAGGCAGAAGTTGAAGTGAGCTGAGGTCATGCCCCTGCGCTTCAACCTGGGATATAGAGAGAGACTCCATCTTAAAAAAAAAAAAAAAAAAAAAAAAAAAAAAAAAAAAAAAAAAGGTGTCTCTCCATTATCCATTTACTTGAATAGATGCTGATGAGAAATATGTCGTAATTCTTAGCTTTTTTCTATATGTATGCACTGTATTTAAGACTTCTCTTTTTCCCTGGTTTTCTCTAATTTGAAATAGTATTTTGAGGTTTATCCTGATTGATGCATAGTGAGCTTCTAGGATTTGTGAGTTTATACTTTTCATCAAATTTGGAAAACTATTTACTATTATTTATTCAAATTTCTTTTTTCTTTTCTCCTGATATGTTCCCTCTTCTCTTGGAATGTCAATAACATATATTAGGCCGTTTGAGATTGGTTAACAAGTCATTCATGCTCTGGTTACTAATTAATTTATGTATTTATTGTCTTTATAATTCTTATCTGTCCTTACTTAATTTTGGATAGTTTTGATGTTTTCAAGTTCACCCTTCTTTTCTTCCCCCATATATGATTAACTTCTAATCCCATTTAGTGTATTTTTCATTTTATATAGTTTATTTTTCATTTCAGTAAGTCACATTCGGGTCTGTTCCACATCTTCTTTTTATTTTATTTTTTCCATCATGCCTGTATATACTACTGGAACATATGGAGTGCATTTAAAATAGTTGTATTTACTTCTTTTTCTGCCTTTCCTGTCATCTCTTTCATTTTTGATGTATTTTCATCAATTGATTTTTCTCTTGGTTATAAATTATTTTTTCCTGTTTCTTTACATGCCGATTCATTTTATTTTATTTTATTTGGATATAAGGTCTCACTGTTACCCAGGCTGGAGTCCAGTGGTGCAGTCATAGCTCACAGTAACCTCGAACCCCTGGGCTCCAGCTGTCCCCCTGCCTTAGCCTCTCAAATAGCTGGGACAACAGGCACAGACTACCACAGCTGGAGAATTTATTTTTTAAGTTAATTGTAAAGATTACATCTCACTATGTTGCCCAAGCTGGTCTTAAACTCCTGATCTCAAGTTATCCTCCGTCTTCTGCCTGTCAGAGTGCTGATATTATGGGTATGAACCATTGCATCGGACCCCTGCTTATTTTTAATTGTTTACTGGACAAAACAAACAATACTATTCTCAGTTTTAAAGAAAAAAGAACTTCAAATTTTCAGTTTGGGCTAAGATGATGTAACAAGGACCAGGTTTATCCTTCTGCCTTAAATAAGTAGAACTTTGGCATAAGTATATACAAAATGGTTTTGAACATTGGAGAACAGGAAGCAGAACACTGTGACTCCTAAGGACAAGAAAATACGCTTACAGAGTACGTTGCTGGGTTTTGGATTTTCTTGTCTTCTTCTAAATAGTGTTTGATTTTGTTGTAGCACTTAGCTAACTTACATGGGATACATTAAAAACAAATCCTTTGAGATTTGATTTTTAAGCTCCATTAAGGCAATCTAGAGTAGCTATTAGCTTAAAACTACTTAGCCTCGATAAGAAGCCTATATCCTTGTGAGGATTCTACCTGATGTCCTTTTTCCTATGAAATCTTTAAGGTCTGGGTAGTCTCAACCAAACTATCCCTATCTCTCTATGAGCCCTGGAAATGTTCCTGTGCAAATCATCATTCAGCCAAAGACCACAGGGGATCTTTTTACAGATCTCTGGAGTCTTACTGTTTTTCTCTCTGCCTCTCTTTCCATACAGACACATTTTTTTCTCTCTTTGCCTTTATAATACTCTGACCAGCAAAATTCTAGTGTGATCGCCCCAAACTCCAATATTTGTTTTCTCAACCCAGGGAGACGCTGGGCTCTGTTTGTGTTTCCTGCACTGTTGCATAGTAGCTATCTCCAGGCAGTTGTGTGGTGCAATTATAGGTCTCAGCTTGTTTCTTTTCTTTTCTTTAGGAATCACAGTGTTCTCCTTCTTATTCACCCATGCTTGAAACACCATTATTGTACATAGACTGAAGTTCTACTTACTTAAAGCAGGAAGATAAGCTTGGTTCCTGTTACATCATCTTAACCTAGGTTGAATGTTTTAAGTTCTTTTTTTCTTTTTCTTTTCTTTCTTTCTTTCTTTTTTTTTAAATTTGAGACAGGGTCTTGCTCCATCACCCAGGCTGGAGTGTAGTGGCACAATCTTGGCTTACTGCAGCCTGTGCTTCTCAGGTTCAAGCAATTCTTGTACTTCAGCTTTCCAAGTAGCTGGAACTACAGGCATAAGCCACCATGCCCAGCTAAGTTTTATATTTTTAGTAAAGATGGGGTTTCACCATGTTGCCCAGGCTGGTCTTGAACTCCTGACCTCAAGTGATCTTTCTGCTTTGGCCTTCCAAATTGCTGAGATTACAGGCAAGAGCCATCACACCTGGTCTCTTTTTTCTGTTAATATTGAGAACAGTATTGTTCTGTCTACCCCATGGAGTTGTTCTAAGGCTCAAATAAGGTAATTTATTTGGAAACATATCTAAATTACAGTTATGAAATACCGTATTTGTTTGCAATGTAAAAGTAGTGTTATGGGATCTTTGGGATATTGCTTTTCTGAGTGGAAATCTCTGTGGCTGGTAGTGCCTTTGCCTGAGTTCTTGTCCTACATCCATGAAGAATGAGGTATACAGAAACGTGGAGGGTGAGCAAGATGAACGGGAGCTTTACTGAGCATTAGAATAGCTCAGAGGAGACCCTCAGTGGGTAGCTCCTCTCTGTAGGCAGGTCATCCCGTCTAGTGTTCAGCTGTCAGCAGAGAGGAGGCCTTGAAGCAGGTGGCTCCTCTCTGCAGCTGATTGTCCTGTCATCTGCAGCTCTCAGTAGAGAGGAAGCCCTGGAGGGGGTGGTTTCTTTCTGCAGCTGGTTGTCTGGACATCTCTTCAGCTCTGGCTGAGTCTAGGGTATTTATGATCTTTAGCATGGGGAAGTGCATGCTAATTGGTCCATGGGCAACCATGGATGGGCCCAGGAAAAAGCACCAGGAGTTCCCCCTTAAGTCAGCAGGACTGGCAGCCCAGCCTGAAGGTGAGACTTCACAGAGGACTCACTCTTTTACACCCAGGAACCTGTCTACCTCCTGCCACTGTTCATGGCACCCAGGCTGTTTGTGCCAAGAGGGTGCCTGCAGGCCAACACTGAGCTGCCCTCAGTACCCCCCTCAGCTCCCCTCCCATGCTTGTTGGAGCCTAAAGACTGGAGGGGACAGGGGGCTAGCACGTTACCACTGCCCTGAGCCTGTGCTCACCCAGACAGGCTGCAACAACAGCCAGTTTCAGTCCCAACCCCGCTCCATGATCAGAGTGGGTGCCAGGAGTGGAAAGAGGCCAGGAAGCAGGAGCAGGCTCTTCTGAGCCTGTGCTGGGCAGGAGGGCCTTCCCAGGCACCCAATAGCACAGAGATGCCCAGGTTTCCAGCTGGGCTTGGACAACTGCAGCTGCATTCAGGGGACTCCTGTCCTGCCAGCTTGGAAGGGATGGGGCTCCTGCTTGTCCTTGGCTTTCACCAGCTCCATGGAGCATGCAGCCATGGCTGTGCCTCTGAGATCAGAGTGGGCGCCTACTGCGGGAAGAAGCCAGGCAGCAGGAGCAGGCCCCCAAGAGCACAGAGACACCCAGGTCCAGAGCCACGACACGGAAGCTGCAGCAGCGCCCGGGGATTGTGGGGCTCCCACCTGCTCTGCGGAGTAGGAGGCCCAGGCCTGGCTCCCCGCTGCAGCTGACATTTTGGCAGCAGCCACTCTAGAGGGGTCACTGCTGCCATCAGTAGTTTCTTTTTACAAAATAATTATAAAGGTTTGCCTAGTGGACTCACTTTTTAATTTAAAAAAGTATTATTTAAAGGAAGGAGTTAGGCCAGGCACAGTGGCTCACGCTTGTAATCCCAGCACTTTGGGAGGCCGTGGCGGACAGATCACGAGGTCAGGAGATCGAGACCATCCTGGCCAACATGGTGAAACCCTGTCTCTATAAAATAAATAAATAAATAAATAAATAAATAAATAAATAAATAAATTTAAAAAGAGGAAAAAAAAAGGAGTTGCATTTTTCCCCCCACTGGTTCTAGGCTTCGTGAACAGGATTTTTATTAAAGAGCACACAATTTTATTTTACCATGACATGATGTAAACAAATAAATAGATGTCCGTTTCTTTCAGCCATTCCAGACCAGTGTAGTCCTCTGCCATGCAATGAAGATGGATATATGAGCTGCAAAGATGGAAGAGCTACTTTTACTTGCATTTGTAAACCAGGTTGGCAAGGAGAAAAGTGTGAATTTGGTATGTATAATAACCCCGCCCAGCTCATCAGGATTGGTCTCCTGAAAAGTTCTCTGCAGGTTATATTACTTTAAAGATAATTTATTTTTTTTTTCTTTTTTAGATATAAATGAATGCAAAGATCCCTCAAATCTAAATGGAGGTTGCAGCCAAATTTGTGATAATACACCTGGAAGTTACCACTGTTCCTGTAAAAGTGGTTTTGTTATGCTTTCAAATAAAAAAGACTGTAAAGGTAAGAGCAAGATGGTAGAATTAAAACACATTTACTGTGTGAGAATAATTCCAGGTAGAGAAATTTTACTAGGAAATTTTTGGAAAACTGATTGTAAGTGCTTATACTAACACATTTTATCCACATTGAAGCCTTGTGATAGTTTTTGTTTTTTTGAGAGAGATAGGGTCTCACTTTGTCTCCCAGGCTGCAGTGGAGCGGCTTCGTCACAGCTCACTGTGGCTTCAATCTCCCGGGCTTCACTGACCCTCTCACTGCAGTCTCCCAAGTAGATGGGACTGCAGGTGCATGCCGCCATGCCCAGCTAATTTTGTTTTGTATTTTTTGTAGAGACGACATTTCATCATGTTGCCCAGACATATCTCAAACTCAAGTGAGCCTCCTGCCTCAGCCTCCCAAAGTGTTGGGTTTACAGGTGTGAGCTCTGTGCCCAGCCTGCATTTTTAGTTTATAGTACCGATAACACACATATTTTGTTATTTTCTTATTGTATGTGCATGTACACACCTGTGTGCGTGTTTCAATAAAGAATTTCATTATAATGTGACATTTCAATGCAAGTCTTTGCATGCTACAAACTTAGCAAAGTCATTGTTTATCCTTTGTTTTAAGACATTATATACATTTTTTTCCTCTAGTAAGATAAACAGCCATAGAAAGAATTCCACTACAAAAACCTCTTCCATTGTATTTTGTTTTTCTTTTAGGGAATACTTTGCTGATTTCCAACATAAACCCTTCATCTGGCACCTCATTTCCTGTTGTGGTTTTGGAAAAGAAAAGTCGATCTAGTTTTCTTTCTCTTTATACCTTTGAGATCATGTCATTGGTAGCCGGGCGCGGTGGCTCAAGCCTGTAATCCCAGCACTTTGGGAGGCCGAGGCGGGTGGATCACGAGGTCGAGAGATCGAGACCGTCCTGGTCAACATGGTGAAACCCCGTCTGTACTAAAAATACAAAAAACTAGCTGAGCATGGTGGCGCGTGCCTGTAATCCCAGCTACTCAGGAGGCTGAGGCAGGAGAATTGCCTGAACCCAGGAGGCGTAGGTTGCGGTGAGCCGAGATCGGGCCATTGCACTCCAGCCTGGGTAACAAGAGTGAAACTCCATCTCAAAAAAAAAAAAAAAAAAAAAAGAAAAGAGAAAAAGAGATCATGTCATTGGTCATAACTTCTGTTTCAGGCTTAAATGGTTCCTGTTAGTATAGCTTTCTGACAAGTCATTTTACTGGTATATTTATTTTGTTTTTAATTGTTTCGTATCTCTAAATTTTGACTTTTTTTTTCTCTCTATGTATTGTCTTTTAGTTTGTGTTAATGCTGTAACTCAATCTTCAAATATGTATACCAGGTGTGTGGATAACTCAAAACAAAATTTCCCACCTGGAGTTAAATTTTGCCCTTAGAAACTGGATATAATTGACACCCAATTCTCTCCTCCACTACTTTTTTTGTTTTGCTAAAATGTTTTTTAAAAAAAGTTAAAAATGTAAATTTCTTGTTCAAGTCTTTATTTTATATATGTTTTGGTAAAGCCCTAAATTGGATTCATATTCAAATCATTTCCCTCTTATTGAATGGTAGTGTTTAGTGTGATATAATTTATAATATTATTTAAACTACAGTTAAATGACTAAAGTGAACTACATTAACAAATTCTTCTAAACAGTTATCAAATTTGTGACCATTTGAAGGTCTGTTTGAGTTTGAGTTTTGAGACTATTCAGAATAAGTCTGTCATTAGAACATGAGTTATAGAAAAACTATCATAAATATGCATTTTATAAACAAATAGTACCCACTCATATGTCTACACTTAAATACTTTAATAGTCTCTTTCTAAACAATTTGTGGTTTCATTTTTTGTTTTTTTTTTATGTCTTTTATTTTTATTTTTATTTTATTTTTGTAGAGACAGGGTTTCACCATGTTGGCCAGGATGGGCTCGATCTCTTGACCTCGTGATCCACCCACCTCAGCCTCCCAAAGTGCTGGGATTACAAGCATTAGCCACTGCGCCCGGGCTCATGTTTGTTTGTTTTTGAAGGTAGATAGGGTTTTGCTCCGTCACCTAGGCTGCAGTGCAATGGAGCGATCTCGACTCATTACAGCCCTGGCCTCCTGGGATTAAGTGATCCTCTCACCTCAGCCTCCCAAATAGCTGGGACTACAGGCATGCACCACCGTGCCTGGCTAATGTTTATAGCTTTTGTACAGATGGAGTTTTGCCACATTGTCCAGGTTGGTCTCAAATTCTTGGGCTCAATTGATCCATCCACGTCAGCCTTGCAAGGTCATGGGATTACAGGCATGAGCCGTCACACCTGGCCATATTTGTGACTTTTTAAAAACTAAAAAGTATTTAATTCTTATCCACTCAGTTAATACACATATGTATGTATAAATGATTACAAAAGTGCTCTTATTAATAGGAATGTTCCTGATGAGCACATTTGTTCTTATATTCTTCATTTGCATTATTGTTTACCCATGATATATAAATAATAGAGTAGAAAATAGATGAAGAATATATATATATATATATAAACTATTATAAGGGGACCTTTGCCAAGATGCAGAAATGCTTAGGATCCACTTGCCAGTAATTATGTAAAAATGAAATAATAAAACTTTTCTTTTCTTTTCTTTTTTTTTTTTTTTTTTGGACACAGAATCTTGTTATGATGCACAGGCTGGAATGGAATGTAAGCTCAGCTCACTGCAACCTCTGCCTCCCGGGTTCAAGTGATTCTCCTGCCTCAGCCTCCCGAGTAGCTGGGGCTACAGGCGCATGCCACCATGCCTGGTTAATTTTTGTATTTTTCCGTAGAGATAGGGTTTTGCCATTTTGGTCAGGCTGGTCTTGAACTCCTGAGCTCATGTGATATGCCCATCTTGGCCTTCCAAATTGCTGGGATTACAGAAATGAGCCACTGCACCCCGCTGAAAGAATAAAACTTTTCAATCAGTCATTAGATGTCAGTGTAGAGTCATAAAATCAGTGCACTGTAACCTAAACTTGTGTGATCTAAATAATTCCCTGCAATATGACTCAAACCAAATACACTTAGTGACATATTTTTACTGATTTATTTTCTTATTTATTTAGAGACAGGGTCTCCCTCTGTCACTCAGGATGGAGTGGAGTGGTACAATCATAGTTCACTACATCCCCCTCCACCTTATCCTCCTTAGTAACTAGAACACATGCCACCACTCCTGACTCATTTTTTTCTCTTCTCTCTTTTTTTTTTTTTTTTCTAATATAAAGAAGTGAAGTTTCACCATGTTGCACTGGCTGATCTCGAATACTTTGACCTCCCAAAGTACAAGGATTATAGCACTCCCACCATGCCCAGCCACTCCTGGCTAATTTAAGAAAAAAATCTTTGTAGGGACAGTTGCTTAGGCTTACTTTTTTCAAAAACATAGAGTTTGTAGCTCTTTTATAAAAATTGAATATTTTATTTTGAATTAGTTGAAGATTCACATGAAGTTGTAAGAAGTAATACAGAGTGATGCTAATATACCCATTGCCCAGTTTCCCTCAATGGTAACATTTTACAAAACGATAGTACAGTTTTACACTCAGGATATTGACAATGGTACAGTCAAAATATAAAACAATTCCTACAAGGAATTATCTTTGTGCAAGTTATTTTAAATAATATCCTAAATTTTGATCATTCATCTGGAAAAAAAGCCATCAACTTTTACCATATTTTCTGCTCTGAATTTGTCTTTCTCCAGAGATCACAGAGACAAGTTCACTAATAATTACATCTCCATTGCACTATTTCTGTCATGTTTTGTTTTCTTCGTAGGTGCTCATCTAGTGACTAGTTGCTATCAATATGTTGTCTCCTACTTCATTTTGCAATACGATATATGCGTCTGAAATTTGTGGGATATTAATTTAGCACTCAATTCATATTGGATTAACTATAGATTTATAAGTACTTAGAGACCTTAATCTTATTTTAAATTTGACTCACTGTTGTCTACTTTAGGCAACAATAGTATTGCACAAATTTGATGTTTGTTCACTTCCGAAGAAACAAGGTAGAATAGATGAGCTATCCCCTGTACCAAAATTTGTTGTGTTACTATGGAGTGAATCTGTTTTCAAGACCTCTGCTTATTTTCATGTTCCAGCCTGGCAGATAAGAACATTTCTGTAGCTTTCTCCTTCTTAATATAACTAGATAGGAACATGACAAACATCAGTCAAATTCCCTATGCATTTGCAGAAAGAAATCATATTTGGTAAACTAACATATGATGATAGATTTAATGCTTTTTTGTCCGAAGGCCAATCTGTTATCTCATTACATATATTAAGCTAGATCCAGGAAACACAAATCAAGTGTTCTTTTCTAGGCTCTGCTGGTATGGGAAAAATATTTTTTAATATAGTGACTTTATTTATAGATGTGGATGAATGCTCTTTGAAGCCAAGCATCTGTGGCATAGCTGTGTGCAAGAATGTCCCAGGAGATTATGAATGTGAATGCCCCGAAGGCTACAGATACAACCTCAAATCAAAGTCTTGTGAAGGTAGAATGATGGTGGTATCATTACTGATGGTGGAGAGGGTGGGTTTGAACCCTGAATTGATATTTAAAAGCATGGGTTTTGTTTGACATCAACAATCACATTTTCTAATTCCTAATATAGCTTGTTCAATTGAGTGATCATTGGCTTCCTTCCAGAGTGCAAGTATGTAGGGCACATGGTCTTTTAGTTTAGTGTAATGCACTCCAGTTGGACCTTTGAGCTGCCTATGAATTGGAGACATCCATGTGTGGTAAAAACAAGATAAACCTATTTTCACAGCATTTACATCATATTCAAAGATAAAGAGAATTTCACTTTGAAAGGAAAAACAATACGCAGAAAAGAAAGACACAAGCTTAAAATTCATCTGAATGAAACAATGAGCGTGTAAAAACCTTACTTTTTCTTCCAAGCTTTTCAGTGACTTTCTGTGTATATATAAATAAGTCATTTATTCGAAAATAAGAAATAACACTGTTCTGAAATCTCATGATAAAGAAATGATAACAAAACCCTAGAAATCTGAGAAATGTTGATCAGCAGTGTCAGAGCCTGTGGGTTTGGGGCAATCTCTTGGAGGCACTGTTATGACCTCTTGGAGGCACATGTGACTGCAATGTTGGGCCCTTTGTGTCTCAGGAAGCTTCAGCATATTAGAGTTGTTCGTAGGCTTGTTTATTATGATACACAGATTCTCTCACACCTTCCTTTGGATTTAATTTTTTTTTTTTTTAGACAAGAGTCTATCTGTTGCCAGGCTAGAGTGCAGTGATGCAGTCTTGGGTCAGTGCAACTTCCTCCTCCCAGGTTCAAGCGATTCTCCTGCCTCAGCCTCCTGAGTAGCTGGGACTACAGGCGTGTGCCACCATGCCCAGCTGATTTTTGTATTTTTAGTAGAGATAGGGTTTTGCCATGTTGGCCAGGATGGTCTCGATCTCTTTACCTCATGATCTGCCTGCCTTGGCCTCTCAAAGTGCTGGGATTACAGGCATGAGCCACGTGCCTGGCCCCAGATTTTTAAAAGTTTTTAAAACAGGTTTAATGCCATGCCTGGAACTAATTAATAGTAATTTTTTTATTGTGGCTATGTGTGTGTGTGTGTGTGTGTGTGTATGTAATATATATATTATGTGTGTGTGTGTATATATGTATATGTGTATATATACACACACATAGCCACAATACAACGTGTGTGTGATATATATACACACATACTATATATATATATATATATATATATATATATATATATATATATATATCACACATGTATAATGTACCTTTTAAAAAGTAGACTTAAGGGGCAGTTTTAATGTATCCTTTTAACTATTTTTAGATATAAAATTCAGTGGCATTAATTACATTCACTCTATTGTGCAGCTATCACTTCTACTTCCAAAACTTTTTCATCAGCCCCAACAGAAACTCTTAAGCAGTAAACATTTAAGCACTGAGTTTTCTTTTTTTGTTACCTTGATAGAGGTAACCTCTAATCTTGTTTTCTCTCTCCATGAAGTTGCCTAAATGAATACTAATTTTACAGTAGATTTTTTTAGCTACATATGCTGCTTTTGAGATTTTGATGGCCTACCTCTTTGTTCACACCAAAATTATCCCCCTGCCAGCCACACCCACATTTCTCTTTCCCACCATTGCAGATAGAAATTACCATGGAAAACTCTAGACATCTGTAGAATTATCATTAGCCAACTTCATTACCTGTATTGTTGTTTTAATTAATGAATGACATATTTTTTAAAAGATTTATATATGACTGTATTATCTAGCTGTAACTTTAATAATATATTATGCAATTTTAACGCTATTGAGGGATTATTAATTTTGAGAATCTATTTTAAATCATTAAATAGATCTTTAATATATTTTAAATCATGAGAACATATTCAATAATAACATTTAGGAATTTGTGGAGTTTTAAAAGTCATAGAGCACATCCAATGAAAATGTCAATGATCTTATATATCTCTGAAATAGACGTTTGCCTCAAGATAACATTACACATTTCCAGGAATGATTTTCTCAAAATATTGATTAGGGACAGGGACCATATAGAAGATTTCATAATATGGGAGATTACAACACATTGAAGTTTTTTCTTTAAAAAACAAAAAGATACGAAATAAAGATATTTCCCTAAATTAATTGCCACCATTAATTATTACATTATGAGAAGTTCAATTGTTCTTGATATTGTAATTTAATTCCTGATTGTATCAGTCTCCAATTAAAGGAGTCTTTTCTTCTCTTCCCTTTCCGACCTTCCCTTTCTTTTACTTCCTCCTCTTCCTCTCCCTTTCTCTTCCCGTTCCCATTTCTTTTTTCTTTTTTTTCAAAGCAATGAATGGTGAGGTAATCTCAATAGAATTCTAATAACCAGAAATGACAGTTAAGATGAGATTCTTAATCTTTTTTTCTTCAAATTCAAAATGAGCAATTTGATAGAATACTTAATCACTGAAAGTTATAAATTAATTTTTGTTTCAAATATTTAAATAAATAAAAATTATACTTGTAACTAACTTATGTTTCATATTAAGTATTATATTCATATGTAGTTTGATGTCATAGGATTTCTTCCCCTAAGGATCTGTTATCATTGATTATGTCATACTACAAGCAGAATACTCCTGCACCTATCAGACTGAACATTTAGAAACGTGCTTCTAGTTACTCAGGTTTAATGCGTAATTGACCCAGGAATGGAATAGTGGAGGGTAGGTCCTCATTGTTACTTCATGGAAATAAATGTCACCATATTAACTGTTTTTTTCTGCATTTTTTAAGAAGCGAAGGTAAAATTTTATGTATACACACACACACACACACACACACGTGTGTGTTTTTCTTCCTCAGATATAGATGAATGCTCTGAGAACATGTGTGCTCAGCTTTGTGTCAATTACCCTGGAGGTTACTCTTGCTACTGTGACGGGAAAAAAGGATTCAAACTTGCCCAAGATCAGAAGAGTTGTGAGGTAAACATTTCACTTCTTTTCTAAAATGAAAGATCCTAGGTACTTATTTTGACATGGCTGAGTTAAGTCAGGAAAGTACAGATGTTCTACAATAATTGCTGTAGCTTTAAGCACGTTACTAGTCATGATTATTTACTAACTATGATCATGTAAGTCATAAACATTGGGGATAATTAGTGGCTGGGTTTAAAAAAAGAAAAAGAGGCTAGAGTCACAGTTTACACAGGGGCCAGTTCACTGTCCCCCAGACCGTTGGAGGGCCGCCACATGCTGTGCTCCTCTCACTGACCACCAGTGAAAGAGGTGCCCCTTCCTGAAGTGCGGCGGGGGGCTGGATCAATGGCCTCAGGGGGCCACATGCGGCCCGCGGGCCACAGTTTGGGGACGCCTGGTTTAGAGAGCACTTATCTTAGCGGGTACATTTGTAAAGTACAAAGTGTATGCTTACTTAGGAAATCAAGAAAAGCTGCGATTAATACTCCTCATTGTGAAAAATGATCTCCCATAGAAACTTCAGTGAAAACATTTCCAGTGTCTCCTTTTCTGTATTCCACTCCGACAAGTTCGATCACACCTTAGGCATGTCAGTACAAGAGCAGTTTTAATGTACCCTACCATTTTTAGGATGTAGTGGGGTTTAAGTTCATCAGAATTCAGAGAGATTAATTTCTTAATCTGTGTCTCTCCAACTTGCTTTTAGTTACTCAGATTTAATGCAGAATTGACCTAGGAATTGAATATTGTGGGCAGGTCCTCATTTTTACTTCATTGAAATAAATGTCACCATCTGAGCTCGTTTTTCTCCTGCATCTTTTTTTAACAAGTGAAGGTAAAATCATATATGATTATGAGGCTGACCATAAAAAATGCCTAAATAATGATTTAACTGTGTGTACACATGTACCTCTATATCTGTTGCCAAGACAAAGCTGTATATGTCCAGGAAAATGTCACATTCAATATTATGCAGCCTACTTGGTAATAAACTAGTTGGCAAGTATAGTAATTTTGGTATGGTACTACTTAAATGAAATGCCGGGCTGCGTGAACATTTATTTTATAATTTAGTCCTTTATTATTTCTGTATTTGGTGTAGTTACATACCACCGTCTGCCTTGGAATCGAAATATTAAAGTTCTAAGAGGAAATAAAATGTTATTTCTGGGCCTATGTTTAATACGGTGCTATGTGTGTAATTCTCCTCAAAATATCCTCATATGTGCTCAATGATTTATACCTTAAAAGCTTTTCATTTTGATGGTTGTTTTCACTCTTGGAAAAAAAAATACTTGATTACATATGTGATGACTTTAAAGTATCTTCTAGTAAATTCCTTGGAGACGATGAGATCTTAACTTATATTTATTTCCTTTATGTTTTCCAAATAGCACATTCTTGCTCAGGAAACTTTTGCTTAATGAATGAATGAGTGAATGAATGAGGTGCTGTTTATTGGTACATTAATTCTTACACCTATTTCTGACTTCAAATAAAAATAATTTTCAGATGTAATTCATGGAAGATATTATGCCTGACAGTTAATTAAATAAATATATATTGGTTCTTGAATAAAGAGTTTGTGCTTAGGACTAACATTTGCAAAGGAAGTAAAGACAAAGTAAAAGACAAAGATCTAAAGCCAGGCACATTGAATGAGATTTTAAAACACACATATTCTTGGAGGGTATACTGACAGATAGAATATACAAGGAAATGGAAGATATATCTTCATTATCACCAAAAGTCTTCTTAATTATTTTAGCATATCACAGAGGATACATTAGTAACTGGCCAAAAATGCATGGCTTCACACAAACGTCAAGCAACGACGTGCGCATTTCGGTTTTCTTGTTGTTTATTTGGTTTCTTTTATTCTAGGCTGTTCCAGTGTGCCTTCCCTTGAACCTTGACACAAAGTCTGAATTACTTTACTTGGCAGAGCAGTTTGCTGGGGTCGTTTTATATTTAAAATTTCGTTTGCCAGAAATATCCAGGTGAGGAACCAATACCAGTGATAATTTCTAGAGGTTAAGCAGATAAGGGCAAAAGAAAAGTGGCTGAAAAGGTTTGAAATGTATGAAATGGTATTACCAATCAGATAGTGTAGTCATATTATCAATCAGATGATTTGGGAAAGCCTAAAGTTAATTTACTCCTTCACACATGTAATTTTCAGGCTAAAACCTTTTTGAGTCATTCTAGACTGACCTTCCCCAATCAGCCTTTTACCTTATTCCGTATTGTTCCTTTTGTAAAAAATGCGTATTTACTAAGAAGCTGGGCAAGTAGATTTAATGTGCTTGTGAAATTTCCGTTATTCTTTATACATGTTATGAAAACTAAGTAATAAAAAATACTCATTATTGCTTTTAGAATATCATTATATTCAAACTTGTTAAGGAAAAATTTTAAACTTGCTTAAGTGGCATTTTAAAGACATACAATTACATAATTTTAGTTGGCTGTCTAAATACTTTATCCATTATTTTTGTAGTTAGATTGAGTTCAGAAATGAAGTAATTGCTTATGTTTTGAGTCATAATTCTACTTTATTTTTATAGCGATGTTTATGATCCAATTTTTGTTTTATTTTATTTTATTTTAATTAATTAATTTATTTTGAGATGGAATCTTGCTCTGTTGTTCAGGCAGGAGTGCAGTGGTGCAATCTCAGCTCACTGCAACCTCTGCCTCCCAGGTCGAGCGATTCTCCTGCCTCAGCCTCCTGAGTAGGTGGGACTACAGACATGTGCCACCACACACAGCTAATTTTTGTATTTTTAGTAGAGATGGAGTTTAAAATAGTAGAGTTTTACTATGTTGCCCAAGCTGGTCTCGACTTGCTGACCTCAGGTGATCACCTCAGGGGATCTGCCATAATTCTGCTATAGTTAATCAGATTTTCTCAGAAGTATACCTTGCTGGAAGTAGAAGAAAGAAATTGGAATTTTTTTGGAATAGTGGAAAGGAAAAATATTTGAGACAGATTATACAGTTCAAATTTTAAAATATTTTAATTAAATAAGCAAGTATGTTTAGAATTCAATTTTGTTGGATATATGAATAATTATTCATTAAATAATTCAACCAAATTCATAGAATCAAAGAACACTGAAAGTTGTTCTAAGATTAATAACTTACATAAACACTTAAGCAACTGTGCTCCTTCCACACTTTTTTTTTTCTCCCAGTTTTTGCTTTTTTCCTTTAATGTCACAGAGCAAGTAATATCTTCTAATGATGTAGATTGGAGACAACCGTAACCTGCTATGAGAATAATGAGAATGAGAGAGAAAAATATTAGTTTTAGTGAATAACAGTTTTAGGAATACAATTGATCTCCCATATCCTTGAGTTTCTCATCTGTCGATTTAACCAACCTCAGGGAAATAATACTCAGAAGAAAATCACAGTAAATATTGACAATATAATACAAACTAATACAAATGAAACACAATACAGTATGACAACTATTTACATAACATTTACATTGTATTGGATATTACACGCAATCTGGAGATGACTTAAAGTACATGAGAGGATGTGCATAAATGATATATACAAATGCTATGCTGTTTTACATAAAGGACTGGAGCATCTGTGGATATTGATACCATGCAGGGATCCTGCAGCCAATATCCCATGGATACCTAGGGATGAGTGTGTTCATTTCTCACTGAAAATTCACAGTTGTTTGATCTCTAACATTGGATTGGAGTTGGCCAAATTACTTTTTCCAGAATTTATCGTTTATTTATTTTAAACTTTTCATTGATACGTAATGTATGTAGAGAAATGTACACATTAGATTAAATGTACAGCTTGATGAATTTTATAACTGCCACCTGTGTAATAAGCATAGCTAGTGCTTTTATTTTTATTTTTTGAAAATTTCTTTACATCTGTTTCTCATGATCAGATAGCTACACAAATGTTAACAAATTCACTGTTTTTTCCAGTTTACCAGGCTTGGGAAAAAGAATGAATTGCTCTCCATTGTAATGAATCAGTCTGCTGATGTTGTATTCTAGAAACAAAATATGCAGAACATGATTCCTTGAAATAGGATTTTAGCCTGATTTTACAAAGAAAAGGGAATTATCTCCATAATAGGATCAATTGCTGGAAGATCTGGAGCATACACAGATTTGAGTTTTGGCCAGATAATATTGATTCACATCAACAAAATGCTCAGAGAGTTATGAAAGAGGATAGAAGTCCTTATTCCTAGCCAAATTGTTCTTTTTTACATAATCTGAATTCGGTAAATTCCTACTACATTGTTCTCCATCAACATACTTTACTCCACATTTTACCTCTTTTTAATACTTCGTTGGAATTCCAAAGTTGAAAAAGTTTATTTTGTCACCTTTGCTTTGTTCCATTTGAGGGAGATTTGTGTGCCATCGCAAATGCTCCCTCTCTTACTGTTACTGTTATACCTTGCGATTAGAGTATGGGATTCTCTCCTGCCTAGTTTAGCAATGATCTGAAGTCCAGACTCTTTAACTTAAACTGCCTTTATTTTAACTTGGGTGACTTAGAGTTACACACCTATTTTTCATTTTCCCTGTTTGTCATTCATCAATCTTTGGAATTTGCTAGTCCCTTGGAAATGTCAACACTGATTCTCATTGAAATGTTTTAAGGATACTGAATCAGCACATATTATTTTAATTTCGGCATCCCTAAGATTTTTCTCCCCTGTAATAGATACATATTTGTCTAGAGTATTAATAGCAACAGGTGTTGCCAACACTCAGATACCCTCAATCACATGGGCAGATGATATCTTTTAAATTTTCCGTCTGTGTATTCTACTACAGTGACTTAATGCAATTAGAGTTTTAGAAAAGCTAATAGATATATTTTAAGTTTTTAAATTTTACCTTTCTTACCACACATGAAGGCTTCATGATGTCTGGAGTCTTCCATATATTATCTTGTGGATCTCCATGAGTGATTCCTGACATGTAAAATTATAGGGAAAATTTGCGTTTTGATGAATAAACCAATCATGAAGTTGAAACATATTTTACTGATCACTTACTGATACAGCAAAAACAAAAATACAACCAAAAACCCACCATGTGTTAATGTTAGATTATATAGTGTATAAACAGGGCCAGGAGAGACACAGTATGCCTGATATCTATACATGTGTATTAATTCCAGCATTTGAAAGGTACTTTCAAAACGTATGCCAAAGAAAGATGACAAATTACCAAAGCATCTGTTCCCTGGGGAAAAGATTCCAAGAATAAGCAAGAAAATATATAACAACTTAATTTTAAACACACATGGAGCCAGAGATAATACATGAGCAGTCTAATCCTGCTCTTCTCTTTTATTAATTCCAGAAAACGAAAAAATATTTGACTCTTTGTCCATGTTACTGTTTGCCAGTACTAGAAAAAAAGAACAATACATTGAGCTTTCTGTATTTCTCACTGTTAAGGATCTCTGTCCATTGTTTAGATTTACAGCAGAATTTGATTTCCGGACATATGATTCAGAAGGCGTGGTACTGTATGCAGAATCTATCGATCACTCAGCCTGGATCCTGATTGCAGTTCGTGATGGAAAGTTTGAAGTTCAGCTTAAGAACGAACAGACATCCAAAATCACAACTGGAGGTGGCATTATTAATAATGGCGTGTGGCATACGGTATGTTTGCAGATTTCATCAATATCTTTCTGCTATGATGCAGTTTGTATAAAATCATAATTAATTTTTATAGTGATACCAAACCAAAATGGGTTTGGAGTTATCTGATGCTATATGAAGTATATGTTGTACACTGGAATTCCCTGAAACACTCTCACTTAATACATTAGAATTTATCTTAACTAAAATGAGATTCTCACAATACATTAGAATTTATCTTAACTAAAATAGTTGTTTTTAGTTATTTGCTTGAACTACCTTGTCTTTAACTTTTTACCTTTTAAACAATATTACCTTTTTTACCTTATTTAACTTTTTACCTTTTTTAGTGGCTGTTTGGTGAACTGTGGTGTTAGGAATTATTAGGCGACCTAACAGTTTTTTTGTTGTTTTTGTTTTTTTTTTTTCTTTTTTTTGAGGCGGAGTTTCGCTCTTCTTGTTACCCAGGCTGGAGTGCAATGGTGCAATCTCAGCTCACTGCAACCTCCGCCTCCCGGGTTCAGGCAATTCTCCTGCCTCAGCCTCCTGAGCAGCTGGGATCACAGGCACGTGCCACCATGCCCAGCTAAGTTTTTGTATTTTTAGTAGAGACGGGGTTTCACCTTGTTGACCAGGATGGTCTCGATCTTGACCTCGTGATCCACCCGCCTCAGCCTCCCAAAGTGCTGGGATTACAGGCCACCGCGCCCGGCCTTTTTTTTTTTTTTTTTGACAGAGTCTCACTCTGTCGCTTAGGCTGGAGTGCGATGGCATGATCTTGGCTCACTACAACCTCAACCTCAGCCTCCTGGGTTCAAGTGATTCTTGTGCTTTAGCCTTCTGAGTAGCTGGTAGCTGGAATTACAGGTGTATAGCACACCTGGCTAATTTTTATGATTTTAGTAGAGACATGGTTTTACCATGTTGGCCAGGCTGGTCTCGAACTCCTGGCCTCAAGCTATCTACCCACTTTGGCCTCCCAAAGTGCTGGGATTACAAGCCTGAGCCACCACACCTGTCCACCATAACAATTTATGTAATTCACCACTGGTCAAAGAAAACTCTTCTCAATTGCCATTAATATTTTTTAAATTAAGAAGAAATAAACATAGTAACAAATTCAAAAAGGTAATTCAAATATAAGCATATAGATAAGTAATCCTTTAAAAAAAAATAGACACAGTGTCTTGCTATGTTGCCCAAGCTGATCTTGAACTCAAGAAATCCTCCTCCCACCTTGGCTTCCCAAAGTGCTGGGATTGCAGGCATGAGCCCTCATGCCAAACTTAGTAATCAATTTTTGTGCAAACAATATACAGTAGCAGATACCAGTGTGCTTAGAAATTAGCATTTTAGGCCAGGCGCAGTGGCTCAAGCCAGTAATCCCAGCACTTTGGGAGGCTGAGGCAGGTGGATCACCTGAGGCCAGCAGTTCAAGAGCAGCCTGGCCAACATGGCGAAACCCCATCTCTACTAAAAATACAAAAATTAGCCAGGAGTGGTGGTGCACTCCTGTAATCTCAGCTACTTGGAGAATCACTTGAACCCTGGAGTCGCAGGTTGCAGTGAGCTGAGGTTGCACCACTGCACTCTAGCCTGGGCAACAGAGCAAGACTCAAAAAAATAGAAGAAAGAAAAAATAGATTAGCATTTTAATTTAATCCTACATATAGACTTTATTCTAGTGATCAAGAACAGCACTTTAATCAACCAGATTAAAATGGGATTTTCCTGAAGAGATTACTGCTAGTTGGCAGTGGGGAGAAGTCTTTTCTGAAGCATAGAGTCATTGCTGTCGTCAGCAGAGGATAGCTGAGAGAAGATTGGCTTCACCTTAGAATGCAGTGCACGAAAGAGACATCTTTTATGCCTAGAGGAGCTGGCAAGAAGTTTGTGTTGATCTCGATCTATTTATGTTATTTATCTATTTATCATTATTGTCATTATTATTTGAGACAGAGTCTTCCTCTGTCACCCAGGCTGGAGTACAGTGGCACATTCTCAGCTCACTGCAACCTCCACCTCCTGGGTTCAAGCGATTCTCCTGTCTCAGCCTCTCAAGTAGATGAGACTATAGGTGCTGATGCCATGACTGGCTAGTTTTTGTATTTTGAGTAGAGAATGGGTTTCACCATGTTGGCCAGGCTGGTCCTGAACTTCTGACCTCAGGTGATCTGCTCTTCTCAGCCTCCCAAAGTGCAGGGATTACAGGTGTGAGCCACTGCACCCAGCCAAGAAGTTTGTGTTGAGAAGCCATGTGAGGTCACCACTAAATTATTTTAGTCCTTCATTTATTCAGACATGCACTCATTTATTCAATAAGCTTTCAGTGAGTGCTTTTGCTGCTAAGTTCCTGAGTTCAAGGCATTAGAACTGTAGCAAGAGATTTTCCTTGCTCTAGCGCTTAGTACCTCACAGATAAGTAGCTGATGCTTCTTTGGGAAATAATATAGTGTAACATGAACTATGTTACAGTAGAGGTATGAACAAAGCACACTTGGGCAAAGATGTGGTGACTTTACAAATTATTACTTCTTATCTTTGATTATGGGTCTAATATTAATAGGAATTTAAATTGTAAATGTATCATAATTTATTTAGCAAAATACTTATTGAACACTTGTGTGCTAATCCTTATTCTTGGTGGTAAAGATACAACAGAGAATAAAACAAAGTCGGTGCTTACAGAGCTCGCATTCTAGTGGTGAGATGCGAACAACAAATGCATAAAAAAATAAACATGCCAGAGGGTTATTCATGTTATAAGAAAAAAGAAAAGCCAGGCAAGGACATAGAGAGTGATGATAGTATGCATATAGAATCAGGAAAGCCATCACTGATGAGATTGGATCCGAACTGAGACTTGAGAGCACGTGTCATGAGAAATACACGAGGGAATACAAAACGATTCTGAACCATGTGAACAGCAAAAACAGAATTTCTTGGAAGAGGATGTGTTTGGTATTCGAGGAATAACACAAAGTGTAGTGTAGCAGCGGGGGTGGGGGGAGTTGATAGAAAATGAGGTTAGAGGTCGGGCACAGTGGCTCACGCCTGTAATCCCAGTACTTTGGAAGGGCAAGGCAACCTAATCACGAGGTCAGGAGTTCGAGACCAGCCTGGCCAACATGGTAAAACCCCATCTCTACTGAAAAAAATTAAAAAAAAAAAAATTAGCTGGGTGTGGTGGTGGGCGCCTGTAGTCCCAGCTACTCAGGAGGTTGAGGCAGGAGAATTTCTTGAATCTGGGAGGTGGAGGTTGCAGTGAGCGATTGCACCACTGCACTCCATCCCGGGGGACAGTGCAAGACTCTGTCTCAAAAAAGAAAAGAAAAGAAAAGAAAAGAAAGTTAGAAACGTGGTCTGGAATGAGATCATCTAGGGCCTTGGGCGCCATGAAGAGGTGTGGATTTTATATGCTAAATGGAAAGGCCCTGGGTGATTTTGAGAAGGGACATGATCTAATTTGCATTTAAAAATATAATCAGGATCAGAAACTGATGGCTTTGTGGAAAGCAGATAGTGGAGAATGAGAGAACAGGATATGGAGCTAGGAGACTATTGCAATAACCCAGTAGAGAGAACACGGCGGCTCTGACTGGTGAGAAGTGGTCAGATTCTGTATACGTTTTTAAAGTTAAGCCTTTAATTCAAATTTTTGAATAAGCATAAAAAAGGGTTTTAAGGCCATGAAACTGGTTGTGTTGACCAGTGGTTTCAAACACTGTCTCATCCAATACCTGAAAATATATAATGCTCCTTTACTGTTCTGTAATGAAATGTGTCAATAATGTAAATTACCTTCGTGTATACCCAGTTGAAACCAACACAATGCTCTCATTATTACATTCATATCAATAAATAAAAGGAAAGGAATTTATAAGAAAATAATACCTATTTCAGTATATAAGTACTCAACTATAACCACAATACTTATCACAGCTTGCTTCTATACACAGACTAAAACAGCTATACATGAAGATTAATACTGGGGTGTTACATCAGCAACTCAAATACCATTAAGTGCATAAATAGTGTTGCCATTGGTAATATTGATTTTCCAAAGTGGTGAGAAGTTCCTGGTGAAGATATGAACAAAACAAATATCAATCTGTTTAGTTTTCAAGATTATTACACTCTTGAAAAACTTAATGAATGCTAAAGTAGTGCAGCAAACATTTTGTGCATACGTATCTACAAACTCAGACAGTGGTAAGCATGAATAGTCCCGACATGAATCCCTAGCAGGGATGTTCAGAAGATTTTAAGAATACTTGACATTTTCTTATTAATTGTGCATGACGAGCTTATGTACATAATGCAGATTGTCTGTCATCTTGCAATGCCAGCCTGGCCCCTGCTCACTGTGACAAATAAAAGTGCTCTGCACCTCCAAACTTTCCAAATGCCCTGGAGTGGAGTCACAGTGAACCACTGAAAATACTTGCATGGCTACAGGAGAAAGGTCTGCACCCTCAGCCGTGGGAGGGGAGGATCCGGCAAAGGAGGCTGAGAAGTAGTAGTTAGAGTGCAGAAGGAGAAGCAAGCAGGGTCAGGTCTTGGCGGCTAAGTTAAGAAAGTGTGAAGGAGCAAATCGTTGTTCAAATGCTGCTAATTGGCTATATTAAAAAAGGAGTGTTGACGAATTTTAAATCTGTGTTACTAAATTTATTTTATGTTGGAGGATAGTTTTCCCCTCCTGTAACAGTGTTTTAATATGCTTATTGTCTGACTCCTATTATTGGTTAGTAAGTGAAGAGTTTGCACTTGGAGTGCTGTAGTTTTACATGAAGCGTTCTTCAGATTGCTTTTGTGGGAGGAATTTTGATTGTTGTTTACCCTTATTTGAAACCTTTTCTAAGAAACCCAGACTACTCTCAAAATTGGAAAACTCCAACTTAATTTACGCAGTTTTTTTCTTACTACCTCAATCATTTTTTAATTTTAAAGGAAAAATAATTTGTGGGCAATTAACAGAATACTGGACATACTGATTTTTCTTCCTTTATATTAAGAACTTATTTACATGATTGACTCCATATGTGTATTGTCAGACAATTGCAAAATAAGACCACTTAAAATTTCCCTAAGATAGAATGGCTCACTTAACTGTTAATTTTCTAGCAGCCTGGGATTGAAAGATATATAATTAGATGTTTAACAGAATAGTTTTTTTTTTTTAACTTTAAAGTATGGTATGCTTTTAATTTTTGATCAAGTGCTTTCACCCTAAATGCTTTTTTATCACATTTATTATAATTTGACATTCCAAATAAGTTGTAACAAATTAATAATTACATTAAAATGATTACAAAAATATTTTATTGGAATAATAACAGAATTTTTAGATTTCAATGTTTCAAATGACATGTAGTAATGCTTGGTTATTTGGTAATTTTTCTTTTTTAATTGTAGGTGTCTGTGGAAGAATTAGAACATAGTGTGAGCCTTAAAATAGCTAAAGAAGCTGTGATGAATATAAATAAACTTGGACCCCTTTTTAAGCCTGAACATGGATTTCTGGAAACCAAAGTATACTTTGCAGGATTCCCTCGGAAGGTGGAAAGTCAATTCATTAAACCGGTAATGATCCAAGCTTCTGTCATTCATCATGGATGAATTCCTTTTGTCTGTAAAATATTTGAAGATGTGTTTTTCTGAGAGTCAATAGAAGTTGTTTTGCTAAGCATACTAAGTGTGACAACTTGAAATGATCATGGAAAAATAACATTAGTGACCCTTGAAATTATATTAATGAAACAAGAAAACGATGTGGTAGTTTTGTGTTCATTTAAATATCCAGCATAAATCATGAAATGGCCTTCTAAAAATCTCAAGTTAACCCCTGAGAATCTTAACACTGCGGTTCAGTATTAACAACACGATAATCCACCCTGTCTTTAAACATATAAATTCACATGTTTAAGTCCAAAATTATGCTATTTTGAAGAAGCCAAAGGACTTTCTCAAGTTTATTTTTAGGACTTATATTCGAGAGCTAAAGCATAGCACATAAGGTGGAAGTTATTATTAAAAAAGTACCTCTTTACTGAGGGTACAACTATAGCCTGTCATAAACTGAAATCAGATGTAGTAGCTATTTTTCTAAATATGATATTTGTTTAATAAATATAGAATAGGTTTTACTAAAGAGACTAACCACTGTCTTCAAAGAGTTTCAAAAATTTCATTTGACATCACAGACCTGCCAGATACACTTGCTGATTTAATTTAAATATTTACTGTCTTATATCCACCTTTCACTCCTGGCAATTTGTAGTTACTGTAACTTTTAAAAGATTTCTATTATATATTAAATATGAATTAATTAACCCATGTCGACATGAATAGACCTGTTGTTTGAAACTTAGAAAATAAGACACATTAAAAGTAAAATAAATTATTCAAAAAGTATCAGTCGTTTATTACATGGCTTTTACATGTCTTGAGCCTGGTGGGATGCTCGATGGAGGCTAAAGAATGCAAACACTTTTGTGGCTGAAGAGACTTAGAGTCTGATTGGCAAGACCAACCCATATTGTAAATGCCACTAAAGAAAAACAAGGCTGGGGGTGGTGGTTCATGCCTATAATACTAGCATTTTGGGAGGCCAAGGCGGGCAGATCACCCGAGGTCGGGAGTTCAAGACCAGCATGGCCAACATGGCAAAACCCCATCTCTACTGAAAGTACAAAAATTAGCTGGATGTGGTGGTGGGCCTATAATCTCAGCTAGTCAAGAGGCTGAGGCAGGAGAATCGCTTGAACCTGGTTGGCAGAGGTTGCAGTGAGCTGAGATCGCACCACTGCACTTCAGCCTGGGCAACAAGAGCGAGACTCCATGTCAAAAAAAAAAAAAAAAAAAAAAAAAAAAAGAAAAGAAAAACAAGGTAGCTTAGAGCCCAGGGCCACAGCTAGAAGCAAATACAGAACTTGAGAGCAGAAAAGTTAACACTGGATGACGTAGGAGAAGCAGGTAGAGCCTGAAGTGGTAAAAATCGTTAAGATCCCATTGAGGGCTTGTGATGGTATAAGCTTGCTTGTACTGAAAAAGACTGTCCATCTGAAGAATACTTTGAAAAGAAAAACTTAAATAAAATACAAACTATTTTAAACTATCATCAAAGAAAGGATCTTCTTTCCTCTAAATGAAAGTCTATACTCATAATTAGCCACTCGTTTAAGTTTAAAATGCACTCCTTGACCTGTATTTTAATTTGTTAGATTAACCCTCGTCTAGATGGATGTATACGAGGCTGGAATTTGATGAAGCAAGGAGCTTCAGGAGTAAAGGAAATTATTCAAGAAAAACAAAATAAGCATTGCCTGGTCACTGTGGAGAAGGGGTCCTACTATCCTGGTTCTGGAATTGCTAAATTTATCATAGATTATAGTAAGTGACTTTCCGTTTATTTTCTCATTAATGAGTAAATTTATTCATCAACAAACAGTAATAATTTCTTTGGTGAACAGTATTATCTACTGTGTGCCCACTGTAGTCTTATGCTTATTCATACTATTATATATCTTTTACAAAAATTTTGCAGTGTATTGAGAAAAATAGAAAAACAATGTGCGTATGTTGTTATTTCAGGTTTATTGCTACATAGCCTGATTCCCTTTGGGTAAATTCAATTGACCGACTTTAAAGTTCACTGATTTCTCACTCGTCTGGAGTCTATCAGTAAATGCATCAAAAAGATCCATCATTTCTAGCATTTCGATTTGATGCTTTCTTAAAATTTCTTCCTCTCTGTTGAAATTCCCTACTGCTCACATTTGTCTAGCTTATGTACTGAGCTTTCAACATATTCACCATAATTATTTTAAATTCCCTGTCTGACGGTTCCGACTGTGTTATAATCCGGGTCTGCTCATTTTGTTTGCTTTGTCCCTTGACCAAGTGTTGTTTTTCCTGCATCTTTGTGTATCATACAATTTTTGGTTTAGAGGTGGGTATCTTATGCATAACAGTAGAGACTGGGATAAAGAATATTTGTGTCTGGAAATGAGCACACTTCTTTTGCTAGGCTTTCAGTGATGGGATTGAATCAGTCTAGTGAGGATTGAGCTGCTTGTTTTTTTTGTTGCCAGGATTACCCCTAATGCACTACAGGTTTCAAATTTTTTAAATATTACCTTCTGCGTAGAATAAGGGAATGGTTTGCTAGCAAGTTTTTTTCCCTCCCTCCCTCCCTCCCTTTCTCCCTCCCTCCTTCCTTCCTTCCTTCCTTCCTTCTTTTTTGAGACAGAGTCTCATTCTGTCACTCAGGTTGGAGCACAGTGGCACAATCTCAGCTCACTGCAACCGGTGCCTCCCAGGTTCAAGTGATTCTCATGCCTCAGCTTCCCAAGTAGCTGGAATTACAAGGGTGCCCGGCTAAGTTTTATATTTTTAGTAGAGACAGGGTTTCACCATGTTGGCCAGGCTGGTCTCGAATGCCTAACCTCAGGTGATCTCCCTGCCTTAGCTTCCTAAAGTGCTGGGATTTCAGGCTTGAGCCACTGCACCTGACCTGGAGAATTTTCCTTAATAGCTGATCAGCTACTAAGTTTTTCATCATAGCAGCTCAATTTTAGGTATTCCCTCATAATATGCCTCAAGAAAGTATCTCTCCCACTTGTGTCTCTCAAGTGCCTTGCCCATCACCTGCAGAGTGTGCTTGTTACTTGACATTTGTTAACATGGCGGAGCAGACCTGGTGTTTGGGGAAGCATTCTGTGTTGTTCTGGTACAAATTCACTCTTAGGCAGGTGTTGTATCCCTGGGTCTCCGGAGTGTGGAATTTTCACCGTTCCTCTTCCCTGACTCTAACCAGCAGGGGAGATGTCTAAGGATCAGGACTCAGGATGTTTTCCTGCTCCTTCTCCATGATCTATAGCTTTGTTTTTTCATAATCTGTAGTTGCAGTGAGTCTTCATATGTGTCCTCATGACCACACTTGTTGCCTTTCTCCTGGCTGTGAGCCTTTTGTTGTGTATAGGAGACCAAGAAGAATCTAGATGAAGCTTTGTGCCTTTCCTGTAGCTGGTGCTGCTGTCAGGACTGCATTAAGAGAGAGACTTTCTAGGGTCTCAATCCCTGCAGTCTGTTTTCTCCTGAGCACAGTAAGGTCTGTGGAGAAGAGCCTGTGAATCAGCATGATTTTTCTTTGTCTCTGCAATTTCTAGGGTTTCTTTCTTTCTTCTTTCTTTCTTTCTTTCTTTCTTTCTTTCTTTCTTTCTTTTTTTTTTTTTTTTTTTTGAGACAGAGTCTCACTTCATCGCCAGGCTCCAGACTGGAGTGCAATGGCACGATCTTGGCTCACCGCAACCTCCACCTCCTGGGTTCAGGCAATTCTCCTGCCTCAGCCTCCCGAGTAGCTGGGATTACAGGCGTGCGCCACCATGCCCAGCTAATTTTTGTATTTTTAGTAGAAACGGGGTTTCACCATGTTGGTCAGGATGGTCTCGATCTCTGGACCTCGTGATCCACCCGCCTCGGCCTCCCAAAGTGCTGGGATTACAGGCGTGAGCCACCGCACCCGGCCAGTTTCCAGGGATTCTAAACTCTTACGTCAGCCCCCACATGGACTTCAGAAAATTGTTTAAAACTTTACCTGAATTATTTTTTACCAAATAGCACGGCATCTCCTGTGGACCCTGAGTCAGAAAGTGTTCGCATTCTGGCTCTCCTTGGAAACACCTGTCTTTCTTTAGGTTTCTGGTTAGCCGGTTACTCTGCAACCTCAGCTCTTTGATAGTTCCAAGAAAAGCTGTGTTTATGCAGGTAATTTGGCTTTTGTTGTTGTTTTAAGGGTGGGGTTAGTGCTCTTTCCAATTTTCTGCAGCCTAACTAGAGCAGGGAATCTTGCCATACTGACCCTAGATTTTTAACCTTCACGGAAGTAAATAATACTTCTGTGAACATCCTAAAACATACATCCTTCTACCTTTATGTGATTGATTATATGGAAGAATATTTTAGGATTAGATTATCTCTATCAAAGGTTGTGTTGCCCAGTCAGTTTCCAAACTACTGGTCTCAAGTGATCCTCCTGCCTCTGTGCTCAGCCCTTTTCACTACATTTTTAAGGACAAATTTTACACTAATGATTTATCTTTTTCTAACATAAATTAATACAATTCCTAGCTCTGTTCTGCATATGAAAGATTGTTTTTTTTAAAGCTATAAATGAGGATTAAATTAGGATAAAACTAAACCCACAATGATTTGGCCAAAGAAAAAAAATCCTAAAAACGTAATGAAAATTAGAGTTATATTGTACCTAAAAAATTACCTAATAAGTAATTAACCATTTCATGGATAATTTGTAATTAATATTTAATGTTACATTTTAACTTCTATACATTTGCATGTTAATTTTAGTTTGTTAATATTCTCTGTTAAATTTACTTATTTCAAGATAAATACTTAGGTGATAGAAATTCCAGTTACCTTGATTTGAGCATTACACATTATATGCCTGTATCAATCAAATAACATATGTATACCAATATGTGTACAATTATGATATATCAATTAAAAATTACTTATTTCACAATGATCACATATACACTTTTTTTTTTTTTTTTTTTTGGAGACAGAGTCTCGCTCTTTTTCCCAGGCTGGAGTGCAGTGGCATGATCTCAGCTCACTGCAACCTCTGCCTTCCAAGTTCAAGCGATTCTCCTGCCTCAAGCCTCCCAAGTAGCTGGGACTACAGGTACACACCACCATGCTCAGCTAATTTTTTTTTTATTTTTTTATTTTTTTATTTTTATTTTTTAGTAGAGATGTTTTGCCGTGTTGGCTAGGCTGGTCTTGAACTCCTGAACTCAGGGGATCTCAAAGTGCTATGGTTACAGGCATGTGCCACTGCACCCGGTCTATATATTTTTTTCTTCTGGGTGGGAATTACAGGATTATAATGAAAAACTTAGTGGCATTATATGTGGCTAAATGCAAGCACATCTTGTCAAAGGAAAATCATTTTCCTCACTCACAATTACCCTTTTAAAGGTTCCAAATGGTATTTGGGCTTTGCTATATGTTACATCATATTAAATGAGGAAGACTTCATTCAGATTATGAACTAGTATTTTTAGAAATCCATCTACTCTGAAAGCATTAATTTAGCAAATACCTATTGAGTGACTACTGTGGAAAACAAAGCGATGATAGAGACATATACCTAGAGCTAGAGCTTGTGCTTTAGTGGGATAGACAATTAACCTAGTAATTGAGAAAGAGAATGTGAAGGATTATGAGAAGAGAATCCCAAAACAAGGGTTTCCACTCTGATGTCAAAAACAAATGCTGATGTTAGTGTATTTCTCTAGTATCAAACTATCCAACTCTCCTACGTATGTAGATCCTATGAATGCTTTGTAGTGATGATGGCAACTGTACCCAGAATCTCCAAAAATTATTACAGTGAATGTGTTGAACTTTCAAATGTGTGCTTCAAAATATAACCACTCTATGATCTGAGCATTGGTGAATGTGCAAGGGAGAAGGAAGCTCTGTTAAAGAGCAAACAGGGAAAATCTGTAATCATCCTTAAACACCACAGTCCAGAATTCTCTTCTAGGAAGAACGGGAAGATGGGACTCAACTATTGCTTGCCCACCTAAAAGCTTTTCTTTTGTTTTGCTTAGGTTATATAGATCATTGAGAAAGGGAACGAAAATATTTAGTATTACACAAGATGGTTTTGAATATTACCAGGATCCTACTAATAATAATTCCTTCCAGGGCACTTCAGGAATGCTGTGATCACCCTCTGTTTCATTCTTTTATGTAGATAATGTCTCCAGTGCTGAGGGTTGGTATGTAAATGTGTCTTTGAATATTCGTCCGTCCATGGGCACCGGTGTCATGCTGGCCTTGGTTTCTCATAACAACACGGTGCCCTTTGCTGTGTCCTTGGTGGACTCCACCTCTGAAAAATCACAGGTAACTTTACTCTAAACTTATATGAGCCTTGCTTTTCATTTCATTTTTTAAAATGGATATAATAGCAGTATTTATCTCAAAGGACTACTTTGAAGATTAAATAAAGTAACTTATGTAAAGCAGTTGGCACAATCTCCAGCACATCATGAACTCAAAAAAATGTCTATTACTGTTACTTGTTTTGCTGGCATATTTCCAAGGTCTGAATGAAGAGGTAAGGGGAGGGAGAATTGAAAAACCTACTGCAGTTTTACCTGAGATTAGGCAGATTCTCACGAAGGCTGCTTGGAGCCATCCGAGTGCATAGAGATCCACCCTTATTCAGAATCTTTGAAGTGTCGTGGGAATTAGTCTGTACTGTCAACATAGAAGTTTGTCTAATTACAGTGTCAGTTATTCAAGTGCTTAATTATAATGTTTTGTTCTTTCCTGCACGCTTAATCTTTTCTCCCATGAGTAAGTTAGGAAAAAAAGAGAGAAAGTTAAAACCAGCCCACTTGGGTTCTTACTGGCAAATGTTATTTGAAATTAGGAGGAAGAACAGGAAAAAGCCTTAGATGAAAGGAAATATGAGGGTTATCGGAAGCTCTGTGTTATTCAGACTTCTATTAGAGGGTAATAGTTCTGTCTATGTGCCATCCACAGTGGATTCCAACAAGTTACAGCAAGAAACTGGTGTTAATGCCAAGGCTGTCTCGGATGGTGTCAGTAGAATTTAACAAGAGACCGATGGTTAAATAATGTCCGTTGTAGTAACAAGTGATGCTGTTGATTCAGGGAGGAGGATGGGGAAGCTTCTGGTGGTTAACCTTAAGTAACCTAAAAATATCTGATGAGGTTTTTTTGTTTGTTTGTTTGTTTGTTTTAAATCTCCTTTCTATAAGGAGCTTAAGGAGCTTTCTACATTTGGATTTCAGCGGTTTTTTGTTTGCTTGCTTTTTATTTTGAGACGGAGTCTTGCTCTGTCACCGAGGCTGGAGTGCAGTGGTGTGAACTTGGCTCACTGCAACCTCTGCCTCCCAGATTCCAGCCATTCTTGTGCCTCAGCCTCTGGGTAGCTGGGACTACAAGGACACACCACCTCGCCCAGCTAATTTTTGTATTTTTGGTAGAGACTGGGTGTCACCATGCTGGCCAGGTTGGTCTTGAACTTCTGACCTCGTGATCCACCCACCTCGGCCTCCCAAAGTGCTGGGATTATAGGCGGGAGCACGACTCCCGGCCTGTTTTTTCTTTTTAAACACAATGGAATTCCTATCTTCAACAGCACATTCATACCGTGGAAGATGTTAACACGTGCCATGTCTTTGATACTTATTTTATCCTTTTAGTGTTTGCCTCCATGGTTCCTTCTTTGCATGCCAGATTTCCTTCTCAAGGTCTATGTGCAATATTTCATAACATTATTCAGATACCACTGATCATCCTGGAGCATGTTCTTTATTGACCAGCTCTTTTCTTGAATTTAAGAATATGGACATGTACAGCACAGTAACAGATTTTCTCAAGTAGCCTATATTTGCAAAGCATAGTCTTTCACTTAAAATAGATATGTTGGATACCTAAATAAGCATTTCCAACTGTATTTTTTGTCATCTGGGACTCGTCATGACTTCTGTCTCCCTAGTTTTGATTTTATTTTCTCTTTCTTACTTTTTACATTTCCTCTATGCCACATAAGCTGTATGAAGACGTAACTCTCAACAAGTTGAATAATTTAGATGTAACAGCAGTCTGAAAAGTTCAGCAGAATGAAAACATTTTCTTGGTTGAGAATCTTCTGGTAAATATTCTGTAACTTACTGCTGGCAATCCCTGGTCTTTCTTTCTCAGTGCCTCTTCACTTATGTAGTCCCAAGTCTATAGGATTGATTGTGTGGCACAAAGAAACCTTTTAGTCCTGCTGGCATATGCTTACTAAAGCATTTTTGATTTTACAAGTCTTTCTTCAACAATGAGTGATTCAACTCCTTCCTTTTTCTTATGTAAACTTGAAAATTAGGAAGGCTTATAAACAGAAAGATACTGCTTAAGACACTACTGTTGGTAACACAACTCTGTTGTTTGACTGAATTTTCAGAAACCAGTATTCACGTCTATCTGAGCTAAACTTAGAGGTTGTAAAACTAGAGTGTATTTTAAAATTTAGTCTTATAAGTTAGTCTTATGATAATTAGTAATTTTTCACTTAAACTTAGAGGCTCTATCATACATTTTCTTTCCTTATTCAGATTTAGTTTTTGACTTTCAAAAACTCAAAAGTAACTCTTAAGCAGCATTCCCCCTACTCCTTACTTATATTGAATCTTTGCTCCGCTCTTCAGGATATCCTGTTGTCTGTTGAAAAGACTGTCGTATATCGGATACAGGCCCTAAGTCTATGTTCCGATCAACAATCTCATCTGGAATTTAGAGTCAACAGACGCAATCTGGAGGTGTCAACACCACTTAAAATGGAAACCATCTCCCACGAAGACCTTCAAAAACAACTTGCCATCTTGGACAAAGCCATGCAAGGGGAAGTGGTCACTTACTTGGGTGGCCTTCCAGGTATCTGCTTACTTTTCTTCAATTTAAAAAAGTATATTTCAAATCAAATTAATAATATTTTAAATAGACAATTTTAGTAAAAAAGCATCAGAAGGGACCATAAAATCCAGTATTCAATATTCTTTTTCTATGGGCTAGTACTGACGTTTGATTGGCACATTCTTGTTTCCTTTAGTTTAAAAATGTTGAACTAGCCGGGCGCAGTGGCTCACGCCTGTAATCCCAGCACTTTGGGAGGCAGAGGGGGGTGGATCACGAGGTCAAGAGATCGAGACCATCCTGGTCAACATGGTGAAACCCCATCTCTACTAAAAATACTAAAAAAAATTAGCTGGGCATGGTGGTGCATGCCTGTAATCCCAGCTACTCAGGAGGCTGAGACAGGAGAATTGCCTGAACCCAGGAGGTGGAGGCTGCAGTGGGCCGAGATCACGCCATTGCACTCCAGCCTGGGTAACAAGAGTGAAACTCTGCCTCAGAAAAAAAAAAAAAATGTTGAAGTAAGACTGACCAAGTTTTGCAGCATTTGGTATTCCAGCCAGAAAGAATATGTTATTTTATTTTATCATTACAATAATCTTATAAGTTTAATATTTGTTCTTCAATGTATCCATTATTTATTTAATATTTATGCATCTATTATTTGGTTCATGTATCGTTTATCCAAATTTTATTAAGACCTTATGTCTCAGGTGCTCATGACACAGTAATAAATAAATATGGTCCCTGATGTTAAGGCTTTTATTATCTAGTGGCAGAGAAAGACATTAGGCAACTAATTAGGAAAATATCAGAATAATTAAAATTGTGATCACTTTTAGGAGAGAAAAGTGTGGGTTGCTTTGAGAACCTGAAAATGTGGACTTTTCACCTGGTTGTGGGGGCCAGAAGCAACCACTCTGGATAACAGACTAAACCATAAATCTGATGTTGAAAAGGTTAAATAAATTCAACCAGGTGTGGGAGTGGGGATTGGAATTGTCACGCAAATAAAATGGTCCATGTGTGGGCCAAGCGGAAGGGGATGACACGCTGGAGGAGTCTATCGGAGATCAGTATGGTTAAGGCATGTTGAGCGAGGGAGATGGTAGTGTAGAACGAGGCTGTGAACTGGCTGGTTGGATGGGCTGCTTGTAGACCTAGTTCAGGGTCCTAAGTCTTATAATGAGAGACATGGAACTATTAAAAAGTTTAGACAAGAAGGAAGTATAGCTATATTACAATTTTAAAAATTCACTCTGCGTGATGGATGGAGAGGGACAGGTGGGAGACAAAGGTGGGTGCGATTGAGATGATCTTCAGTAATCCAGATGAAAAAGCAGGGTCAAGAGTTGCAGTGTCTAAACTGCCTTCAACTGCTGCAAAACAAACAGTCTGGACACTGTTCAGAGTGCTTCAAATATAGCCACTTGTTTAATTTTCAAAATAGTCCTGTATGGTAAGTGCTGTTATTATCCCCATTTTACAGATGAAGAAACTGAGGAAGCTGCAGGGATAGGGTGATAGCAGTGAAGATGATGCATGGTGAATAGATTGGAGATGTGTGTTAGAAACAAAATTAATAGGATTTAATGACTGAAAGACAGGTATAAGGATGATTCTTAGATATCTGGAATGAGCAGTTGCATGGATGGAGATTTCATTTACCAAGATGGAGAAAACTGGAGGAAAAGCAGATTTATCTTTAACCAAATATTGGAAAATAGGAAATTCACACCAATATTTCACTTTAAATGGAAAACTGAGGCAGAAAGTTCTTTAAAAGCATTTTCAAATACCATTGCAGTTTATTCTCATGGAGAGAATTCTGAGTTTGATGTCTGGACCTCTAGCGACCCTCAATTTATTGCTTAAACTGCTAATGGTCTTGATTTCCCACATATGGAAATTGTCTCTGGGATTTTGGGAAATAGAAGTAAATAGGCTCTAAAAAACTATAGGTAAGTAGGTAGGTGATAGATAGATAGATAGATAGATAGATAGATAGATAGAAGGAATTAAGTAGTGAGCATGCCTAATTATTATGGAGCAAAATTATACTTCAAATGAATAAATTCTATATTGAAGTCTACCTACTGCCTCATCCACAAGTTAGTTGAATGCAAATTAGGAAATCAAACCAGCAGTTTAAAAGAAGTAGAATTGTCAAAATTTCAGTGGTTTCAGGTCTTTGGCAACAGCACTGAGGACGAATTTCAGGCAAAATGTCTTGAGAGAAAAAGTGGGAAATATTTGAGAGTAGCTAAATACTGGGATATCAAGAGTATAAACTGTGGGATGGATAAATGATTAATTGTATGCAAAATAGGTGTGTTAAATTGCATGTGAAGATTAAACTCAAGAGAAACTGATGATTTTGAGTAATTTTTTTCCTCAAAAAATGAAAAGTGGCATGATATATGTGGTTTAGTCCAACTTGAAAAGGATTCTTTACAAATGCTATGAGGTTTCTTTTTTTGTTTTGTTTTTTGTTTTTTTTGAAACGGAGTTTCTCTCTTGTTACCCAGGCTGGAGTGCAATGGCGTGATCTCGGCTCACCACAACCTCCGCCTCCTGGGTTCAGGCAATTCTCCTGCCTCAGCCTCCTGAGTAGCTGGGATTACAGGCACGCGCCACCATGCCCAGCTAATTTTTTGTATTTTTAGTAGAGACGGGGTTTCACCATGTTGACCAGGATGGTCTTGATCTCTTGACCTCGTGATCCACCCCCCTCAGCCTCCCAAAGTGCTGGGATTACAGGCTTGAGCCACTGCGCCTGGCCAATATAAAGGTTTTTTTTGGGGGGAGCAGGGCATGAAGTACTGAAGACGAAGAATAAGGACTAAAGAATATCCGTTGTGAGTTAAGATTAATGGAGAGGAGAGGCCACAAAAAGAGGAAGCAAGTAGATAAATGGGAGGGATTTTTTTCTCTCTCTTTTTTTAAAGGCTAATCAAGTGAAGCAGTGGAGTAAGGAAGGAACAAAGAAATCTGTAACTGGTTGTGATCAATTAATTGTAAATACCACTGCATTCGGACCAGCCAATGGGTGGTTTTAAAATGAGTCACAGTTCTTCGGAATCAAAGGGTGTTACTAAATACTAAGTTTGATAAAGAAAGGGTAGAAAGGTCCAGAGGCCTTAAAATGACCCTATACTATTCACTGAGGAGTTAATAAAAGTGTTATTTTTAAGAACCCAAATATTACATCAAAGTGTGTCCTCTATTATGATCTATTGTATGTTCAACCAAAAACTATTTATTTGGAAAAATACAGAAATCTGCTTTTATTCCAACAATAATAGAAGAGCCATATTGGTCATGGTATTTAAAAGAGATTTCCAAGTAGCTTTAATTTGGAGCTGAAAAAAATGATTAACCTTCTTAAACTTGCTCTAATTTAAAGAGAAAATATGTTATTTGTGTAATAAAAATAGAATATCACAAGAATATGCTTGTTTCTACCCTTCCTCAGATGTGTTTAAGTTTAAATGAAACTAATTGTGTTTATGAAGTCGGAGGAACTCATGACATGCTGAATTCAATGAAGTACAATAACATGGATATCGGAGTCAATGTCTATTTACTGAATAGAATTTCATTATTAACTTTTTCTTTAGGATTAGAATTTGGTTGGAAATAGGAAGTCTAAATGACTCCTCTCATTGTAAACAAATAAGATGCTAAAAGTCTTGGACTAATAGTCTAATATTCTACTTTTACAGATGTTCCATTCAGTGCCGCACCAGCGAATGCCTTTTATAATGGCTGCATGGAAGTGAATATTAATGGTGTTCTGTTGGATCTGGATGAAGCCATTTCTAAACATAATGATATTAGAGCTCACTCATGTCCATCAGTTTGGAAAAAGACAAAGAGTTCTTAAGGCATCTTTTCTCTTCTGATAATACCTTTTTCTTGTGTATAATTATATGTATGTTTCAATAACAGCTGAAGGGTTTTATCTGTAATGTGCAGCTTTTGATTATTTTGTGGTTCTTTCCTGGGATTTTTGAAAGGTCCTCTGTCAAGGAAAAAGATTCTGTTGTGATATAAATCACAGTAAAAAAAAAAAAATCTTACTTCTCTGGCTGTCTAGAAATAGTGAAACAGCAATTTTAAATTTGATTTTTTTGCCTACAAATGACAGTTTCAATTTTTGTTTGTAAAGCTAAATTTTAATTTTATCATCATGAACTGGTGTCTAAATATCTATTTTCTTTAGAAGGCAAAGAAGTAAACTCAAACAAAAGTGCATGTAATTAAATATTATTGACGATAGGTAGATGCTATTTGGTTGGTTTTTTTTTTTTTATGATGAAAGCAGAAGAGATGGTGGCATATTAAATCTGAATTGAATGGAGGGTCTTAATGCCTTATTTCAAAACAGTTTCTCAGGGGACTAGCTTTGGCTTCATCTTTCTCTTGGATGGCTTCACATTTAAACCAGTATCTTTATTGAATCAGAAAACAAGTGGGACAAGTTTTCCTGAGAGCAGCACAGTAATCTTGCGTCCTGTGAATTGCAGTCTGTCGGGATGAGACATCAGATTATGTTGGATAGGTGTGGAAATCTGAAGTGGGTACATTTCTTAAATTTGGCTGTGTGGGTCACATAAGAGCTACTTTAGAAAAGACAGAATTTAGGGATGGAAAGGAGAATGAGCATATGTGGGAGTTTATAGTTTTCCTTGAATCCAACTTTTAATTGCCAGAGTAAGTTGCCAAAATGTGATTGTTGAAGTACAAAAGGAGGTATGAAGCCAGAATAAATTTTAACAAAGGAATAAACCACAGAGGAATATAGTGAATATTGTGTCTTTGTAATCAAAAGAAGTAAGGAGGTAAGATTGCCACCTACCTGCTGGTACTGTGATGCATTTCAAGTGGCAGTTTTATCACACTCGAATCTACTATTCACAGCTGGGTGTATATCAGATGTTTCACTGACAGTTTTCAAAAATAAATTCTTTTCACTATATTTTATATCACTTGTAATAAATTGGTATATAATTTTAAAATGCATGTGAATATCTTTATTATAGCAACTATTTGAACAAAACACAAAATTATGTAATAGACATGTAACTCTTCATACGACAAAGTAGTTGTTCATTTAAAAGACAGATCAAGCTCAAATCTTTGAATAATAGTTATGGGTTGGGTGGTAGACTGGAACTCAGAAGGTGAAGAGAAGCAAAAGTAACATGTGTGTTTTGACACATCCCAGAAATTGTCTTGCTGGATGTAATTTTTCTCCCAACTGTCACCAGGTACTATGAGGGATGCTCACACATGGCTCAGAGAGAGTCTAGACCTGTGGCTAAGAACCTTTGATTGATGTTTAATTTCCAACATTGCCAAGGAATATAGATTCCTACTTTTTAAAGAGTTGGGGAGTACAGTAGTTTTATGAAGGCAAAGTGGATATTTAGTGCCATTTCAGCTCTGTATAGTGAAAAAAAATCCAAATAACAGGGCCATTACAGAGTCCCTTAGAACTCACCTTTTGAAAAAGTTACCCTTTTACTTTTAGAACATGTTATGTGACATGGTAATAGAACTTACCATTTGCAGTAGCCAGTGATGGATCAGTAAAAGCAATGGTTAATCTGTAAGAACAGGACTATTCACCTCATTTCTTCTGTCTGAAAGTATAATTCCAGTTTCAGTCCCTATATGTCAGTATAATTATTTCTAATTTTCTTTTCATTCTAGAATTAAGGAACTCATGGGATTACTCGAAAGAGGACTTCTTCATATGAATTTTTTTTTTCCACAAAATGATTGCCTATTTATTTTTGCATTTCCCTAGACCTTTAGTTACTATCATCAGTGGGAAATCTGATCTGAAATAATTTTATTTCAGATTTCATCATGTTGCCATTAATATTGATTTGGGAGATGTCAGAGTCCCTAGAGACTCAAAAGACAAGTGTGATCAATTTCTAATTTATTCATTCAGCAACAAATATTTAGCAAGCACCTACTCTACTCTGTGCATGTGGAGTCAAAAGCAGTAGAATGTCAGAGGGTAGAGACTCAAAAGACAAGTATGATCAATTTCTAATTTATTCATTCAGCAACAAATATTTAGCAAGCACCTACACTACTCTGTGCATGTGGAGTCAAAAGCAGTAGAATGTCAGAGGGCTGAACTCAATGGAACAGGAAGTCACAGTACTCAAGCTGGCCCTTGGTAGTCCTCAGGTTCCGGCTCCGTGGAGCTACAAAGCAGCTCTTTTCCGGTCATCCTAAGAAATTGAAGTGATAAAACTTTTGGTCATTGCTCCTATGTCAGAGTAGTTTTCTCCTTATGAACAAGATTGTTTTGACAGTGGTCTTGGACATGGGTTTCTTGCTACAGCAAGCTTTGAGTTTTCAAAGAACTTATATATGAAAATTGGATCTTCCGTGATAGAGACATTGCTTAGGGGTTCATCTAGTGCTGTGCAAGATAACCTCTAGCTGTCTTGTATTTGCAGAATGTGAACGTCAGGGGGAGTTATCTGGGCCAGCATACACGGGTTTGGGGTACATATTCTTTTTTTTTTTTTTTTTTTTTTGAGACGGAGTTTCGCCCTTGTTACCCAGGCTGGAGCGCAATGGCGCGATCTCGGCTCACCGCAACCTCCACATCCTGGGCTCAGGCAATTCTCCTGCCTCAGCCTCCTGAGTAGCTGGGATTACAGGCACGCGCCACCATGTCCAGCTAATTTTTTGTATTTTTAGTAGAGGCGGGGTTTCACCGTGTTGACCAGGGTGGTCTCGATCTCTTGACCTCGTGATCCACCTGCCTCGGCCTCCCAAAGTGCTGGGATTACAGGCTTGAGCCACCGCACCCGGCTACATATTCTTAATAATATAAACAGTGCAAGGCCAGATTATGAGGTCAAACTGACAATGGGAAAAGATTGAACCAAGATATGAAGATAACAGTGTCAGAAATAGAGGTGAACTGAGTATGGGGAAGTTTGGAACAAGTAGCAAACCAGTGAGGTTGGGGCGTATTTCCTGAGCCATTACTCTGTCATGCTTTGGGCATTCCATGGTATAGCAGTTGTCTTTTTGTTTGTTTTGTTTTGTTTTGAGACAGAGTCTCACTCTGTCGCCAGGTGCCAGGCTGGAGTGCAGTGGTGCGATCTTGGCTCACTGCAACCTTTGCCTCCCGGGTTCAAGCAATTCTCCTGCTTCAGCCTCCCGAGTAGCTGGGACTACAGGTGCACACCACCACACCCAGTTATTTTTTTTTTGGATTTTTAGTAAAGACAAGGTTTCACTATGCTGTCTTACTTGTGGATAAGAATGGCATTTCATGAATTTACAGACTGATTTATGCTAACCGACTTGCCATAACAAGCTTTCCCCAGAGAGTACCCTATTTTCATGAGAAAGAAATTGTAAAGTAATATCTGCAATTTGCTAGTGATTGATTCTCTTTTCTGCTCAAGTTTCAAACTGTGAAAACTGGAATCTCATTCTATAACTGGGAAGAACCACTTGATACATCAAATTCTTCTTCAAGTGGATTTGAAGAGGAGAGAGTGGGCTTTTTGTAAACTGACATAGGAAGAATCTGGCATTATTATCTGGAGGTTTCAAATAATAAATACTAAAAAATTAATTTAAATAAAGTCAAATTGAACACTTGGACTGCTACTGGAGCTTCCGAAGACGAGCATCTTCCTGAGCCAACTCAGCATGTACAGAGTGACCACAGGGGGCTAACAACTGGGTGATGTGAAAAATACACATGGTCTTAGTCTGCCTCGAACATGTAGCCAGCAAGTTGCAAAGAGCCAGGATGTCTGGGTTGAGTCCATGCCCAATTTCGAAATGACACTCTTCCCATATTCTTACTAGTTATCCCAGCACGTAGTAAATGGTATATAATTGGAATGAACAAATCCAACAAATCTAACAATTGATTGGATAGAAATAATTCTGTCTCCAGCTGTACATATAACTGGCTGTGTCATTAAGTCTCAGTTGTTAATATTATCACTTTAACATTTTGAAGATGAGAAAGGATATTGTTTAATTGAGTTAGACAAATGCTGACACCGACTCCGAACACTTAGATGATTAGAAATGTGGGCTAGAAACAATCCTGAGAAAACCGTGGAGCAAATATCTCGGCACTGCCGTCAACTTACTCAGTTCAGGGGGCAGCGGACACATGGACAGCAAGTTACAAAATGAGCCTGAGTTTGGTAAAGACTGAAATGCAGAAATAAACACTTGCAGGGGGTTCTGGAGAAGGAGATATGGATTCTAAACAGGAGCTCAGTGAGGTGCTATTTAAATGAGGCCCCAAAAAGACGGACGTGAATTTCTGTTCGCTTCCCTGCCTCCAAGTCCTGTCTTGGTGATCATCCCCCACAGGGCTTGCAGATTCTCTCACACACAGATACCTGATTTTACTGTAGTCCTCAGAAATCTCTTCTCTTTTCCTATTGATTATTGCATGAGGTGAAAATAATTAACCTTGGCTTTCAAGGGGTTTCGTTGTTTAACCCGTAGATCTAAACCCAGGCTTCTTATTAGATTCATTGGCCCTTTTGCAGACAACTCGATCAGAAGATTCTCATGGAAACCAGAGTTACAAACCACAGATTCCATGTCTGTGGGTAGCTCTCTAACCTCAGGCACTTCTCTCCTTGCCGCTCCTGTCTTCTGTACACATGTGAGGGGTGTGCATACATGGTGTGCGTGCACACACACACACACACACACACACGAACAGACATAAAGCCAAAGACTGAGTTAAAAAACGGGACAGGAGAAAGAAGAATAGGGAGGGGCAGGTGTGTGTGTGTGTGTGTGTGTGTGTGTGTGTGTGTGTTTGAGAACAAAACCAGGAGGGGAGAAAAAGACAACAAAGAGAAAACAAGAAAGGTGTGACAGCGGATGCAGTGAAAGGTTTGGTAAGATAGAATTGAGAATGAGGGAAAGAGGAATAAAGAATATAGAAAGCTGGCCGGGCGCGGTGGCTCAAGCCTGTAATCCCAGCACTTTGGGAGGCCGAGGCGGGTGGATCATGAGGTCGAGAGATCGAGACCATCCTGGTCAACATGGTGAAACCCCGTCTCTACTAAAAATACAAAAAATTAGCCGGGCATGGTGGCACGTGCCTGTAATTCCAGCTACTCAGGAGGCTGAGGCAGGAGAATCGCCTGAACCCAGGAGGCGGAGGTTGCGGTGAGCCAAGATCGTGCCATTGCACTCCAGCCTGGGTAACAAGAGCGAAACTCCGTCTCAAAAAAAAAAAAAAAAAAAAAAAAAAAGAATATAGAAAGCTACTTGATGAGGAGGGTGAAGAGGAGACGGAGAAATAATAGAAAAATACATGAATTATCTACTTTTTGGTAAACAAATAGGAGTCAAGAGTGACAAGTTGATGCCCCAGAGAGAGACTAAAGAGAGACAGAGATAGTGAAGTAGAGATAGAAATGAAAAAGGAGAGCCCTAAAGAGTGAAAGAAGAGAGAAAGAGAAGAGACCAGATGAGATGTAAGAAAGAAGGGAGGGGCCAGGTGCAGTGGCTCACGCCTGTAATCCCATCGTGGGAGGCCGAGGCCAGTGGGTGGCTTGAGCCCAGGAGTCAGAGATCAGCCTGGGCAACGTGGCAAAACCCTGTCTCTACAAAAAAATACGAAAAAAAGCCTATGGTGGCACATGCCTGCAGTCCCAGCTACTCGGGATGCTGAGATGGGAGAATCACTTGAGCCAGGTGAGGTTGAGGCTGTGGTGAACCATGATTGTGCCACTGCACTCCTGCCTAAACCCTGTCAAAAAAAAAAGGAAGAAAGAAGAAAGAAAGAAAAGAAAGAGAAAGAAGAAAGAAACAGAAAAGGAAATAGGAAGGAAAGAAAGAAGGAAGGCAGAAAGAAAGGCAGGCAGGCAGGCAGGAAGTGGCTCACACCTGTAATCCCCAAATCTCGGGTGGCCAAGGTGGGAGGACTGCTTGAAGCAGGAGTTCAAGGCCAGCTGGGTAACAAAGGAAGTCCCCACATCTACAAAAATAAAAACGAAGTATGAAAAAAAAGTTGACTGGGCACGGTGGTGTGTGTGCCTGTGGT